GATCTGTCAAAGAAAATAATTAATGCTATGTAAGAAGAAGCATCGATAAGGTTGGTTTTTCAAGCCATTTCATTTGCCGTTTTGCTATTGGAAAAACTCAGAGAAGTCCTAGATGTCAGTAAAGGGAGTTTTATATCTCTTTATTTTCATTTAGTGATTATTTTACTTCTATATTCCAGACCGTGTAGTCCTAAAATAAAGAATTTTTCCCAGACTTTAGTATTACTTGGATTTAGTTAGCCTCAGGATTCCAAGGAGGTCAGACAGTATTTAACACCTGACTTGTGAATCTGGAGGTAGTAGCATGTACAGTATGGCAACTGGCAAAACAAAAATCGTTTTTGAGTATGACACAAATAGGACTGGTTAGAAGTAGAAATCAAGCCAATAATGACTCATACCAAATACTTCCTTTCATCTTAGTATAAACTTATAATTATGGAGAAAATTTCAGTCTAGATTATATAATTCTTGATACTATTTATGCAAGTATATGTCCTAATATTTGTGAAACTAGATTTTGGTTATTATTTTCCATTATTTTCTTGAATCAATTAAATACATCACTGACAACAATGTATAATTGATATTGAGTTGCCTTCTTTCAGATTTTCCCCCCAACTCTCATAAACTAGGCTGTATGAAAGTAGGAGATTTCTTGGTAATTCACATACAAGAGCTAACCAGATCTGACCTTCTTAGCTTTTTTGAGGTCAGAGAAAGTCTGCTAGATACTGCCACCTGCTGTTAGCTGTTCTCAACAATTATAGTCAAATTGGGTTCCATCATGTCACCACCCGGAACTTGACTGATGTCTTCACCAATCAAAAAACAAAAGGACATTCATATATTCGCAGCCACTGTTATTATATTCATTATTTACGATTTAAGGATTAAAGGTCCTGTGATTTACCACTCATTCCATCTAAACTGTTTCTATGTCCTACTATGTTATCCCAATTGTTCAGAATCATTTCTTGAAGTCATAAAGTATGTTTCCATACAATTAAACTATTAAGACTTTGAGAGCAGAATGTCTTTTCCAACTCTTTCATGAACTACCAAATACCCAAACAACAGGAATAATTTGGATGGACAAATCTTCATATTAACTGTACTAACCAATCTCAAGGACAGTGAGTTCTACTGATAAGATGAACAAAAACAGATAAAAACAGTCTGGTATGTATATCTATATCTATCTATCTATATCTATATCTATCTATCTATCTATCTATCTATCTAATAATATTTTATTTGCGGTCACAGACTAAAACACAAGTAGAACAAAAGGAGAACATGGGAAAATTAGTCATGAACAATTGGTCACCAAAAACTTGACTAAGGGGAATTACAGCGTTCTCCTCTGATGGTTACAGCTCTTAAAAAATTTTTGGAAACCTGAGAAGTGATGTATGAGGAGCCATCCCCTAGACAATATAAGAACAAATTACTAACATTGGGTCTAGAAGGGTCTGTTTCAAGGAGAGACAGTAACTTAGATCTGCCTGCGTTATACATAGGGCAATATAAAAGGACATGCTCCACAGTTTCAACCTCAGCTCTGTCACGGGGGCATAGCTGCTTGTTAATTGGGAGCCTCTTAAATCGCCCTCCAGTAGTGCTGGGGGCAAGACATTAAAGCAAGCTAGGGAGAAAGCTCTTCTATACTTGGGAAAGGTTAGAGTGTAAAAATAGGAAGCCATCCTCAGTCCATAATTATTAAATTGGCTGAAGATCAGAGGGGAGCAAGTTTTGTTAGCTCTGGCTCATAGATATTGCAAGTCAATGTCCACAAGCCGTTGGACTACCCTAAATTGGGCGTCCTTAAGGCCATAATCCCCCAGGGCATCCCCCGTAAAACCTAGCAGGTGTAATTTCTTCATCAGCTCCCTCTCCCAACAAGAAATATGAGAGTCAGCAAATGCCAGGGAGAGGTAGTGACCAGAAACTGCCAGAAAGAGCACCCGAAACCACCATTTAAAGGTGTTAATCCACGCCATACATTTGACTGATCAAGTGCCCAGTTCCAGATACTTCGGAGCAAAACCAACACAAGAAGGAAGACCCAGAAGTTTTCTAAGAAAGACACCCTGGGTTCTTTCAATACAATCCTTGAAGCCCCGTATCCATATGGGAATTCCTTAAAGAGTTTGAGCCAAAGTTTTGGCTTTGTAAATACGCAGAGCAGAAGGAATAAACTGGCCTCCTTGGGTATAAAAAACTCTTAAAATCTGCTGGTGACTACAGGAGGCTGAATTCAGCACCTGGGTTGGATATCTCGTCCTAGCAACGGTTTTCTGAAATTGAATACCTAAATACTTAAAATGGAAAACCTGCTTAACAGCATTACCGTTGATAGCCCAGATACAATTTCCAGGCTCTAGAAAACACCAATACTTTGGATTTGTCATAATTAATGGACAAGTGGTTCTCAGCACAGTAAGACCCAAATGCAGAAAGTAATCTTTTCAGACCTGGCCTTGACAATGAAAGGAGGGCCGCATCGTCAGCATAAAGGAGAAGCGGGGTCTTCGTAGTTGACAACTTTGGGGCGTGAGACTCAATACGTCCAATGTGAAAGGCCAAGTCAGATAAGAATAAATTAAAAGAGGAGCCAGAACACAACCCTGCCTTACTCCGTTCTTAATCAGGATAGGATTTGAAAGTTCTCCCTGCAAACCACACCTGACCTGACTAGAGGTCTGGTTGTACAAGGATCTAATTAGGAACAGAAGACGTCTATCTATATATACACACACACTATACATCTGACTGGTAATTATACTTTAAACAAAAAGCTCAAAGACACCAATCAATTTTCCAGGTGTTCAAAGCAGATCAAATGCAGTGTTTATGCAGCCTGGTGCAGGCAAAACACTAATTCAGGAAGCAGAAAAGAAAACAAAATTAAATGTTTTGCATAATATCGGAGACTGCCACTTTGTTAATCCTTATTTTGGCTTTACATTCATAGACTGCAGTTGCTTTAGTATCTATGGGCCAAATATAGTTAAGCCTCGATTTTGTCTTTATGAACTTGTAATAAAACATGGCTTGTTTGTAATTAAAGTTATGAATTGGTCTATTTTGTACAATGTTTGCACTTAATGGTGGTTGATCAAAACATCAACAAGAGCTCCTATTAATCCAACTGAAACTTACAAAAATGTATAAAGCAAACTTTTATGTAAGCTGAATATTATGTTACATAAAAACATTCTCTAAATGTAGGAAACAGGAGGCATGTTAGCAAGCCCAAATGTGTGCCATGGTATAATTTCAGAAGTACATTCAACATAATTAAGAACCTACGTCATAGCTGTGAAACCATGTGTATAATAGAATAAATCAGTACTTTTTTTTTTTACTGTACTTATTATTCTTGCAAAGAACTGAATGTCATATGAAGTTGCATCTAATCCTTCTCACAAACACCTGGGCTAGGTGAAGAGAGCATGTGGTGAACACCCAGCTGTATGGGTCAGCATGCCATCCTAAACTAAGAAATTGGATGAGTAAGCAGGTCAGAGCCAACCACAGGCAAGCAAATTCTGTCAATATAGTCAAGATACCACCAGGAATTAATGCAGCATATTATTTTTTCTCTTCCAACACTGTTCCTGATTAATTCCTAATAATTTCAACAACACATTCAAACTTAATCCAAATCACATTTTTCAACCCCCAGTAACAAGTTTTTAGCAACCCAGACTTAATCCTCAAGTTTGTAGACCCTGAGTATTAGCATGGCAGTAACTATCTGTCATAGTGCAATGTTGTGAGAATTGATATATGGGGTGGACAGCACCAAATTGTGAAAGAATAATCGAACCCAGTGAACCTCGGGAGGGAGAAGCTGCAGTATTCTAGCTATATTATCCAAAGGTGCTTTTTTTAAAAGGCAACTTGACTTTGTTTTTACTAGATGTCTGTCTTTTTTACTAGAAGATGTCTGTCTGACCTAAGCGTAGTACATAAAATTATCTGCTACAATGTCCTACCTGTCAATGACTACTTCAGCTTGAACCACAACAACACACGAGCACACAATAGACATAAGGTTAACCACTCCAAACTCGATTGCAGAAAATACGACTTCAGCAACAAACTTGCCAATGCCTGGAATGCACTACCTGACTCTGGTCTCTTTGCCAAACCACCAAAATTTTAACCTTAAGACTGTTTACTGTTACTGATTCCTAATATGTCTGTAAGGGGCGTGCATAACAGCACCAATGTCCCTACCCCCACTGTCCTAATGTTCCCTGTTATTCGTACCCATGACATGTACTCTTAATCATATTTCCAATTATATCTTATCTAAATTAACATGCTTAAATAAATAAGTAAGTAAGTAAGTAAGTGTATGTATGTATGTATGTATATTTGCTTGTCATCCAAAAAAGCTTCAGTTCTAAACTGAAGAAGCTTTGGGGATGAGAAGTGAAACTTGTAATTGTTACGAAACTTCAAGGAAAAACAAAGCCCAGCTACCTTTTGAAAAAGCACCTTTGGGACAACCATGACCGGGATGAATCAGTATCTTCATAGATATCCAGCAATACCGCATTTCCCATCAACTGCGGCCCCTAGCTCTATACTGAGGCAAATGGGATTTGGCATCTTTGGAAGGAGGTGGGATTTCTAAACTTGTAACCTTCCCAGAATTGGTGGCGCGAGTTCCACCGGTAAATTTCATTGGAAGGTTCCCTCCGCCTGGGAAGCTCTAGAAAGGACCGGGGAGCGACTTTTTCAAAGACACCTCCGCCACTTTACACCAAGGTAAAAAGCTTGAGGGGCGTCTGTTTTATTTCTTGGTCGGCCCCCTCCTCGCGCTCGCCGCCTCGGTCTGAAAGGAGGAGGAGGAGGAGGAGGACGTGAGAGCTTTTCTCTCCTCCCCTCGCCTCAGCGAACAAACGGGATATTCACGGTAAACGGGCAGCGGGTGGTTGGGGTTTTTTGTTTTTGTTTTTTTGGCTAGGCGCTTTATACAGGTGGCCTCGAACGAATCTCCACGCTGAAGGGGCCGAAGCGGGAGAGGAAGATGCAAGGCGCGGTCGCCGCAGCCACGCGCTCTTTGGCCCTGGGATTCCTCCTTCTGGCGGCCGCTCAGCCCTCCAACAATCAGCAGCAGTTACAAAGGCCGAGGTAAAGTCCCCTACGAGCCCGCCGCTACCGCGGAAATGCAAGGCAGCTTCGCCTGCCGGCTTCGTTTTGCTTATTTGTCCCGCTTTCCCCCCGAGTTTGGTGAGGACGAGCCCTCCCTCGTGGCCGCAAGGGCTTATTGTTCGGTCAGATAGAGCCGCTGGGTCTCCCTCCCGGTGACTGGCTGTAACGTCTGAAGTGCACGGAAGACTTTGGTGCCTCAAGGCTTACCATTCTAGCGCAGCTCCCTTGCCCGTAACTCTTTCTGTGGTTTCCCTCTGTGCCCCACCTTAGGATCCCGTCTGTCCTGAGGAGACAACTCACGCTTCCACCTCCTCCACGAATCAGGCGTTTCTCCCGGGCGTGCCGTTAAAAGAAGGGGAAAAAAAGATCTTATCGTGCAAGGGCAAGTTTCAGAGAAAGGAGACATTTGCAGCCTAAAGGGTGTGCAGTTAGTCTCTCTACCCTGCACGTTTTAAATGCATTGGGATTGTTGTTTTTTGTATCCGTTGTAGAAACGGAATATTTGAAATATTTGAGAAGATGAAAAAGAGTATTTCCAAAGGGGGAGGGAGTTTCTAGGGTAAAAGTGAATCTGTGTTTAAAGTGTCCCTGAATTCAGTTTTATAAGGATGCTTAATTTTGAAAGGAGTTACTATTGTGTTTGTTCTAAGGAAATAATGGTAATTCACACTTAGTGATACCAGCTAGGTTCATATTCATCCAGGCGATTGAGGGGAAACTGGACCATACAGTGGATGGTATCACAGAGCCATGCTGTGGCTAACCACAATTCTCCACACTTATTTGCAGATATAGTAATCTGCCTAAATATACAAATGTGTATTTGTTTCAAATTGAAATGAAGAGATTGAGGACCTGTACACTGCATGAGTCAAAAAGAGTGAAAATATTTACAGATCCCTCACATGCTGGACATAAACTGTTTCAACTCCTACCTTCAAAACAAGACTATAGAGCACTGCACATCAGAACAACTAGACACAAGAACAGTTTTTCCCCCAAACGCCATCACTCGCTAAACAAATAATTCCCTCAACACTGTCAAACTATTTACTAAGTCTGCATTATTATTACTATTAATTCTCCCATCCTTCCTTTCACCCATCTCCTCCCACTTATGACTGTATGACTGTAACCTTGTTGCTTGTATCCTAACAATTTTATTGACTGTTTCCTAGTATGATTTGATTGCTTATTATACCCTATGTGTTGTACCTTATGATTCTTGACTTGAAAAAGTATCTTTTCTTTTATGTATACTGAGAGCATATGCACGAAGACAGATTCCTTGTGTGTGGCCAATAAAGAATTCTATTCTATTCTATTCTATTCTATTCTATTCTATTCTATTCTATTCTATTCTATTCATTTGCTATGTACATGGGGAAGGCCATATAATTTCATAAGGAGCTTCAGGGATGCTTTACATTTTTCTTACACAGATGTATGGAAAACCTATGTTCATACTTTTGTCTAAATTGTACAAATCAGTTTTGTCTTATAATATGTGTGGAAGCCAATGTTATTAGACATGACATTGAGCTACCTGGGAAAAATATTGCTGGACCCTCTTCTCAGTTCAAATTAGTATGTATTCCTGGGGAATATTCCATTCAATTCTTCTCCTTTTTTTCTTCTCAAAAGATAGTAAGCATTCTTAATTGACTGTATATTTCACTTTTCATTTAGGGGCTCAAACTGGCATATGTAATGTTCCATCCTCCTTTTCCCCCATAATAGTCATAGGTTGGTTGAGTTGAGGTAAAGTGATGGGCCCCAAAGTCACTCCCATGAGTTTCTGTGACTGGAGATGGATACCCAAGTAAGGATACTTGGGTATCCTTACTCCTAGTCCAATACCTTTGCCATTACACTACATTGTGGTTACTAAGTGAAACCCATCCTCATTAGAAACTAGTGGTGAGACTGTCCCCATAGGGCTTGTTTAAAATTTATTTCTGCAAATTCTTGGGAGTCCCCTAGGTATGCTAGGGTTTCCTTCTTTCTCAGCAAGTCAATGCATCATCTTAAAAATAAAAATAACACCAGCTCCGCTGATAAATGAACTTGGTAGTGTCACTAAAACTGTAACCCATACAGTTTTAGTGACATTACCAAGTTCATTTATCAGTGGAGCTGGTGTTATTTTTATTTTTAAGATGATGCATTAAAATAGCATCATCATTAACATGTTGGTGAGGGTGTGAATACAGGTAATCCTCTACTTACAACAGTTCATTTAGTGACTATTCGAGGTTACCACTGTAAAAGGGACTCATGAACCTTTTTCATACTTAGGATCATTGCAGCAGCTCCATGGTCGTGATTAAAATTCAGACACTTGATAACTGACTCATATTTATGATGGTTGCAGTGACCCAGGGTCATGATATGATCACCTTCTGACAAGCAAAGTCAGTGGGGAAACCAGATTCATGCGACAATGTTGTTACTAACTTAATAATTGCAGTGACTCAATTAATAACTGGCAAGAAAGCGCATAAAATGGGGCAAAATTCACTTAACAACTGTCTCACTTTTAGCAACAGAAATTTTGGGCTCATTGTGGTTGTAAGTCAAGAACTGCCTGTAACTCCCTTCTGCAAACTGTAGAATTCCAAGTGATGCCCTCATTTTAGAATGGTTGATGGGAAACGTTTCTTGGAATTTGATACTTTCCTGAAAAGCATACAGTCCCTATACTTAGCAATTTGATCTCTCTTCCCATCTGTATGACAGATGGAAGTAATAGCAAATGACAACTTGAATCTGTTTACAGAATCCAGGATGTCCTGACAGTATAGGACTTTCTTTCAATATACTTCAATTTTATGTGTTTTCTCATCTGTTTCCATTTTGGTGCCAGGTTGGCTGCAGTAGTAAAACAGACATTATTTTAGAGACATGCCTCAGATGAGAAGAACCTGTGACAGAAAAATGCTGGATATCCTTCACCACAGGAAGGTTCTTGTTCAGGGTCCTAGTCAATCATATCATCCAAATTTAACTTTTCACAACTCTCATTCCTGCTTTTCTTTAACAATGACTCAGCATCTTACTGAACTTCATTGACACAGAACCAGAGGAATTATAGAATGTGCTTTAAATAAGTCATTAAGGATTAATGTGAAAAGAGACTGCCAAAAATGAAGAAAGAGACAAAAGAAAACAGCATGTCAAGGCAAATTGGAAATTACTGAGAAGAGAAGCCAAAACCAAGAAAGATAAATATCTCAGAAAGGAACTTAACAAGTTTCATAGAACTGTTAGAAGAGACAAGAAACAGCATTACAACAATGCCTATAAAGATAATAAAGATGGAAACAGACATAGAAAAACAAGAAAGTGTTTCAAAAGATACCTGAGTTTCAAAGAAGGTTCCTTCCTAAAATTAGTATGCTAAGGATGCTAATGGACAGATAGTAACCAAAAGAGATCAAATTAATATGGAAGAGGTATATTGAAATACTGTACAGTAGAGATGTTAAAATGTGACCTCAGGATATTGCAACCATTGTAAATACATTCTGTTTGCCAAGCACCTGAATTTGAATGATGGGCCAAAGCAAATGCTGCATTTTAATTTAATTTAAAATTAAGTAATCAAAATGCAGGTCATATAGTTACTGCCTGTTATTTAAGACACTATTTCAGTTCAGCAACATCCTTAGTAGGATATTTGGTAGATGCAGGCAAAGCTTTGACGCAACATATATTGCCAAAATGCTTTGTTCCCTGATATATGTGCCAATATTACAGGTGCATGTAGTCATTTGTCTTGATTTAACCCTTAAGAAATATGTGGATTTACGTTAGATGAATTGCCAGCTGCTGAACTGCATCCTACTCATTATAAAATAATCCAAGACTCTCCAAAACTTCAAACTAGGCATTTACTCCCATGTTCATTGACCAAAAACAAAAGGAAAGACTTAGTCATTTAATCTTGATGTTAAGTTAAGCATCCAATGATAAAATCATCTGATTTACACCAGTCCTGAGATGTTGTCAAGATAGTGCCGTCTAGTTGATGGGACATGGGCAACAATATGTTGACTTCCACAATAGTTCCTAAATAAGAGATTCTAACATAGAATAGTGTTTATTTGGAGTAAAATAGCCTTGTTTACATTCATGGCATACAACAAGTTGTGCCAAAACTGAGCTTGTGCAGTGCAATAAGAGTTTGCTACTGCTAACTTTATGATGCAAAAATACAAGCTTGGTTGTTTAGGAAAAGCATACAGATAAATAGAGTACAGTGAGAATGGGGTAGCTGAGAAGTGTATCTGGTAAAACAAGAAATAAAGTCAAAAATTAAGAGCAAACTGAATAAACTTTGAATAAAATAAAAGTAACCAATATGAAAGAAGGTGAGATGGTTTGGTCATATTGAAAAAAATGAGGATCAAATTGCAAAATGAATACATGAAAGAAGAGAGTGGGCTGAGAAAAAGGGAAAACGGAGAAAGTAAGTTTGAAAAAACAATGTGTGAACATAGTAGAGGTATGGATTGTTTGCAAGTATAGAAAAGTATAGAGAGGACAGAATGGTTGGGAAGAGAGTACTGTAGTCTGAGATGAAAGAGTAGATGGGGAAAAAGTGAGAAGTTTGAGGAATAATTATGTAGACGTGGCAGAAGTAAAGATTGTTTGCAAGGATAAATACGTTTTGAGAAGACAGATTGGTTATCGAATGCTTCCAAACATTTTGAAGAAAACAACTGTTTATAATATAGTTACTATTTATAATAAATGCTAATATACAACTGCCAAACCACTTTGGCAGGGTGTGTACATGTGCAAATATGTGGTTGTTGACACAGTACATTTTACCTGAAATTAAGTGATTCAGCATCTGATGCATCAAGTGTATGTCTTCTTCTTTTCCTGCATATTCATACATGCACAACCACAGCATGGTGAGATAATCGTGACTCAGCAATAATATATTTGTATTTCCCAGATATGGTTACTAAGAGTTGAAAATGACTGGATAGCACAAAATAATCAATTTAAAATTGCATTATATTTTAAATAGCTAGATACCTTTTAAATGCTTTTTACAAAGATTCTGTATATTTCAACAATGGCATAGTAGATGCCATCTGTTTTATCTAGACCTGATCATGCTATCTCAAAAATAATTCTTCTTTATTTCCTAGGGCTTTTAAATGTGGTGGTATTCTAACTGGAGTATCGGGGTTTATTGGAAGTGAAGGATTCCCAGGGGTCTACCCACCAAATAGCAAATGTACCTGGAAAATCACAGTAAGAAAGTTTGATATGACAACTCCTCCCCTACAAAGAATAATATGCAGGTTTATTGTTGGTTTCAGTTATGTGATGGGTGTCTATAATAGGATACTTTAATATCTTATGCAGCAACCAAAAGCAGAACATTTGATATTTCTTCACAAATGTTAATATAAATTCAATCACTTGTAGATGGAATGTAGTAGTGTTCTTTTATGTACGATGAAAGCTTAGCTACTCATTTCAATAGACTTTGAACTCTTGTTCTTAACCAAAACCTGTTTGAAATATTTATGACTTAAAGTGATGGCCAAGTTTACGCAAAATGTTTTAAAATGCCAAGGTTTCCACAGTGTGCTGAAAGCTAACTATCCACATTCAACTAGTTTAATGTTTATGTGAACCCAGACCGTAAGTTCCTTTTTTGCCGTATTTGAAACTAAAGGCAATAAATACCTTAGAAGGAAAAGCTTTCGTGTGTTATTGGAAAGGTAATAGATTGAAAACTACATTTCTGGATATTATATGGAGGAAGGATATCATATGTCTTCTCTGCTAAGAATGCACATGAAAAAAGATGTATACATGCTCCCCTTTAACATTTTTTAAAAAGTACAATATGCAACCTGCAAGATAAAGATGAGAGTGGAAGCACAATAATATTGTAGAACAAAACTGAATAAGAACATACCATGTTTGTTCTGTTATACTTTAGTGAAGGTTGATAAAATTTAACAGTTTACACTTTTAAAAAATGCTTGAATTGGGGCTTCATAGACAGCTCCATGGAATAAAAGAAATTAAATATGTTTAGCCCAACAAAGAGAGACTTAATGGTGAAATGATAGTTATCTTCCAATACTTGGTAGGCTCTCACAGGAAAAAGGGTGTTGATTTACTCTTCATAGCACCTAATGGCAGGACAAGAAGCAATGGGTGTAAGCTCATCAGAGGGATATCCATAAGGAGGAATTTCCTGTTGGTGAGAACAATTAATCACAGCCTGCCTTCCAGAATTGTGGGTACTCAATCACTGGAGATTTTCAAAAAAAGATTGGATAACAATTGGTCAGGGTATTGGACTAGAAGACCTTCAAAGTTCCTTTCAGCCCTGTGATTCTATGAATGTCTACTATTGTGTAAAAAAACAATCTTCTACACGTAAAAGTTTAAGAAATAATAAACTCTTCTGGAGTTTAACTTCGCTTTATGGCACATCTATTGCCATAAAACCAAAGTTTATGAAACATGTCTTAGGACATTTACTTTTTTTATATCTCACCTTTATTATTTTTACAAGTAACTCAAGATGGCAAACATATCCAATATACTGTACTTTCCACCTTCTATTTCCACACAACAACAATTCCCCCTTGTAGTTTGGGCTGAGAAAAAGGGACTGGGCCAAGATCACCCAGGTGGCTTTCATGGCTAAGGTGGGACTAGAATTCACAGCCTTCTGGTTTCTAGCCTGGTACCTTAACCACTAGACCAAATTGGCTCTCGGTTAAGTGAAAGATTGGGTTTTACCTTAGAGAGAAAAGCATTTTATCAGGCCGTAATAAAAAGAAAAAAGTGGAGACCCAGAAAGATGATTGAAGAAACATGCCTTTCCTAGATGTTAAACAAGACCATTCCTTTGTTTTGGGGCACTAAGAAGTACACGGCATCACAAAAAGTCCTGTTGAATCACATTGTGTTATTTTTGTGCCTTATTTGATGATACCACAAGCACTATACTCATTGGAGCCTTACTCTAAAATTACTATAAACTAGATTTCTGCAAAACCACTGTGTACAGCTTAATTTTGGCTGAGTTTTTCACACTGATTGTGGTCACCAATAGTGGCATTGGCAGCATGATTTACAGTCAGAGATCCTGCATGGCAGATTCTAGCAGGCTGAAGTAGTTCTGTTACTCTCTCATTACATAAAAATGGAGACAGAGTGCCTTGCCAAATTGTTGTTCAATACATCTGTTGCACATAGAAACTACCTGTCTACCAGGCACATTACATGGTAAATTAGTGAATTGGGGCATGGGTCTTACAAGATGGCATTGATAGAGGAGCAAGAAGGATTCAGAGGACAATAAATCAGTGTTTGGTTCTCTACTATTTACCTAATCACAGGGTCTTTAAGAATATAATATAAAGAAAAAGAACAATAAAAATTATTTCCAGAAAAAAAACATATAATATAAAAATAATATTCAAGTTTTCAAATAGACAATTTTAGTATAAGTAGCAGAATCAATTACAATTAAAATATATAAATATTTTTTGAATTAAAGTTACTATTATAACATACATGTCAACTACAAAACGTGTATACAAAATGCTGGACGTAGAATGTTAACTTCAAATAAATCTATTTTAGTTTTGGGAGTATGGCTTGAAGCTCATGATTGATTGGAGTGACTGCTGGAATCCTGACAATACAAATATGTTTTGAAAAGTCTTCCCAAGAAATTGAGTTTAATTTAATCAGAAAAAAACAAAAAATATATTAAGTATTATCTAACACAACGTATAGAAAAGAGATTAAAATAATAGAACTTTGTTCTACTGTATTTGTTTTTAACTTTTTAAAATACATTTGTGAAAATAATTCCATTAAGAAGAATGTGTGGCATAAGGATTCATTACTATAAAAGAAAAAACACACACACACACACAAAGAATGTTATTATCCAGACTGGCATTTATATGCTCATATGAAACATCAAAGCTGGAGCAGAGGAGTTGAAAGAGGTGAGAATTAATAAGGACACAGAATATGAAACATTAATGTAATCTATGAACTGAGACATTATCCTTTTTAGGCGAATAATGCAGAATTACATTCTGAGTAGCTGAATTAAATATCTAAAAAAATAAGTTTAGTTTTTGATGATTTAACTTGCTGAGCCAAATAGATACATTTTTTCCCCCTTCTGAGATATCAGTATCGGTAAATATGTCAAAAAATATTACACAAAAATTAATAGAACCTTACCCATACTCACAAAAATAAATTTTATATAATATAGGGTGAGTAATTGTATTTTTAGAGGCCAGCCTGTACTATCCATTGAAAAAATAAGCCTACTGTAAAATACAGTGGTACCTCGATACTCGGCTGCTTCAGAACTCATCAGATTTGGTACTCAATGTGTTTTGGTGTGAAACTGTTGTTCTGGTATTGATCAGTTGTTTGGTACTTTACGCACTGCAAAAGGCAGTGGGGGACAACCACAGAGGGCAGACAGGATGTCAGCCATGCTGAGGGGGTTGCACTGACTTAGGAAAACGGAGAGATAGGAAGTGCTGCCCAGATGAAACAAAGGGTTACCTGGTAAGTCGCATGGTTTGTTTGGTACTCATCCTTTTTAGTACTTGTCACGTCTCCTAGAACAAATTAAGGAGGAGTACCGAGGTACTACTATACTAGAAAAAAGCCATGGGATTTTGTTTTTATATATGACAACTGCAGTAAAATTACTATATGCTCACAAGTGAAAATGTTTGACACTATCCACAGTGGAAGAATTGTAAGATGATGGAGCCTGCAGAGGTGGCAAAATTAACTTTTGTCCTAGATCAGACAAAGGACAGTATCCATATTTATGGCTGTCTGGAAGTTATAAACTTCTTGCATGAAACAGACAAAAATACACATGACTTGTGGTTTTGGTGATTAGAAAAAAATTGGTAATAGAAAAAGTGAGCTTTTTTATAATAGAGTAAGAGAGAAATGTGTAATTGTATTTGCTGCAGAGGAAATCAGGAGCCTTTTTCTGTTTCTTTTTATGCTTTCTCATGCACTTTTCTTTGTTTATTTCTATCTTTTATTCTAATTCTATTTTCTCTTTTTCCTCAATTGGAAAGATTGAGGAGCATGCTATCTGTCCTCTTGGTTTCTTCACATTTCTACCCAGGGTCTCCTAAAATCTAAGGATTCTTTCAAGGTCTCTTCTGGCAATATCATCCATCCTAAATGGATCAAAAGAAAAGGATAATTGTTGGTCGGTTTAAATAGACTTAGTAACCTGTCCATCATATCCTAGATATAGGCTCGATGTAGGCAATATGTTTCCTGCAGCATCATATCATCTCTATTCCTTTTAAGGGAGAATCACCCATCGTTTCAAAACTACTCTTCTTTCTCAGAGAGGCTCTTTGATTTCTTCCAGCCCAGGGAGCCCAACTATTTTCTACAATGCTCTGTGTGTCATTGTAGAGCACAAAAGCAGAAACAGGCTGGCATGCTCTTTATGTTCCGGGCAAGAGTAGTACTCAGAAACAGTTCAGGCAAATGCCATATGCTGGATATAAGAAGGAGGGGAAATATAGTACAGATTTCCAAGATTCTGTCTTACTGCCAACCTCAATAAAGTAAGATTCTGGTTTTCCCATGCAGTATATTTCCTGATTGGGTCTATGTAGTGGAGCTGACAGGCATGATTTTGTAAGGTTGATTGTCTTAGAAGAAGAGGTTGACACTGTTCCAAGTTCCGTTGGCATCACACCTCTAATGTTTATGCTTCCTTGGGACACATTTTTGCATGCAGTTTGCTTTTGCCAAAGATTTGGTTTTGCTTTGCTTTGCTTTTAATTTTCTCTGGTGTTATCTTCATTTCTCTGCCTTCCTTGAAACCTTTAGCTTTCTGTCCAGGAACCTATTGTCTTTCTTGAAGCATTTCAGTGTAGCAATTTTGTTCAATTTAAATGATTCCTTATCCTTAAATTTATCCAAAGTATCTATGATTTGTAATTAACAAATGGTAATGCTTTGAATATGGCTTATGCTTATCATCTTGCATTAACTGTTCGTTGTTGTAATTCCAAAATCTACTCTCTTCCCTTAATCCTACTTTGTTTCCTTATATTGCCCAGGTCTTTCATTTTACTTGAAGTATGCAAGGCAAGTTGAAAATAAAATTCTTGATATGGCTAACACATAGTACTAAATTTGTCTGAAAAATTACTCTGGAAAATTTCGTAAAGATTCTATAATAGTGCTGGTGTAGGACATGTGCTTGCATGCTGAGATCCCTAGCGCCAGTGTATCTTCCATGATAAGAAAACAGGCTCATCTCTCTTCTTTAAAATTTTAAAAGTAACCATTTAAAATCAAAAATAGATATTGGCATGCTGAATGGTATCAACCTCTAGCATCATCTTCACTTCAAAGAATCCATCTGATTTTAATGTTTGTGCCTTGTAAGCTTTCTTATAAAGTAGAAGAGCAGCTTAGTGCTTCCTTTGTTTCCAATACCAATAGACAAGAACATACCAAGACAAGAAGATGAGGGATAGTGGGAACTGTGAGTGTGTGTGTGTGTGCGCGCGTGTGTGTGTGTGTGTGCATGCACATGCACATGCATGTAAAGTTAGTGTTTTGGCAAATTGATGCTTTTTAACTACAGCTAATCCTCAATTTAAGACCATTACTTAGCAATTGTTTCTCGTTATGACAGACAAACCTTGTCCCAAGGTTCCAACTGGGCTGCTTTTCTGTTGCCACATAACTGCCTTTCAGGCACTTGGCAACTTCACTTTCAGCCATTTGATATGTCCCATGGCCACATAACTGTGTTTTACAAACTTTTTGCTGAAAAACAGCATTTTCTTCCAGCTTTTGGCAAAAAAAAAAAGATCCTACAGCGAACAATTGGCATTCGCTTAATGATCACTGCAAAAGAAGATCATAAAATTGATTTAGTCATGTAAGTGGCCTGCGTTATGATGCCACGACTTATGACCAGAATGGGAAGGTTCCATTACAGTTGTAAGTTGAGGATTATCTATAATTGTGAGCAGATAGGTTACCCCACACACATCCTTTTTGAAGGAGTGCACACAATTTGCACTCTACATTCCTTATTGCTAATTGACTCTAAAAGATTGGGGGTGTCTAATACAGGAGTGCTGTATGAATCCTGATGGTAAAAATATTTGGTTGCAATTCTAATTTCCCAGGGTCATATCTCAGTGGATATGGGACTGTGTTTCTCAATGACATACCAAAGGTAAACAAAGATATCTAAGAAATACTTCCAATTTTTATTTGAACAATAATTGAACTGATAACTTCTGAATGAAAGCCTGTATTTCAGTATTGAATTATAGTCTCCTGCCAATAGGGCAGTTCTTCTATTCATATGGTAAAGAATGCGAATATTTCCTAGTACTTCAGGACCAATAACAGTGCAGTGGTATAGTTTTCCTTAAAAGCATAGTTTCAATTGGACATAAGATTCTGTGATTGTGCAGTTTGATGACTCAGGGTACATATTACATTAACATGGCAAAAATATGGCAAAAGCCTGAAGTGATAGTTGGGACTAAAGTGACATAATAATATAAATAAATCAATAAAAGTCAATGTTCTTTACTACAGAAATGCATGCTTCCTCTCGAAAGTATTTAAGATAAACCAAAGATAATTTTATTTCAAAATATCGCTGTTAAGTGGTAATATCACAATAAAACTTAAATAATGTTTTGTAAATTGGAAAGAGGAAGTAACAAAATTGCTACAGAAAACAAAGTTTTTGGTAAAGACTGCTACATGAAGAAGCTTGAGAAAGTGGTATCTATATTATAACAATATAATGCTTTAAAAATGCAATATAAAAATAGCTTTTATATCTTAAGAGAGGTTAATTTAAAAAAAGGTTATTCAGCTCTGGTATCTTTTTTTTCTACAGGTTCCTAAAGGGAAAGTTGTTGTTCTTTCCTTTAGATTCATAGACCTGGAAAGTGATAATTTATGTCGATATGACTTTGTGGATGTATATAATGACCATGTTAACGGGCAGCGTCTTGGCCGGTTCTGTGGCACTTTCAGGCCTGGTGCTCTTGTAGCCAATAGCAATAAGATGTTGGTGCAAATGATTTCAGATGCCAATACAGCTGGAAATGGCTTTGTTGCAAAGTATTCTGCAGCAGAGCCACATGAAAGAGGTATTTTTCAAGGTTTTAAAGCTGAAATCTTGTGATCTATACTGTATTTTCATGGCAGAAGTATTAAGTACAAGAGCATGTAGAATTTACCAGCCATCCCAAAAATATATCTAAAACAATCTATTCTTTACAAAGAAAATGTTAAAATTTTAAAATCCTGTTAGAATTAGTCTGTTTGCATTAAAATAAGGTTTTGCCAAAATTATATTTTTCTGAGTGTGTCTATGGAGAGAGAGAGTAACAGCAGTCACAAATGTATTCCAAGTTCTCCCAGGATTATGAGTTTTTAAAAGGGGAAACTAAGCTTGTGATATTCATCAAGCCTTTCCAAAAAAATTTTTTCAAAAGGGAATGAAAATGTGGCATTTTTAGAATGACAGATTATAATTGCTCAAAATTGCTAGATATCTAAAATCCAGTCCTTTGTATTTGGAATTATAGTCTTCTCCCATAGGAGGAAGAGAAATAGCATGTTTATTCATGTACTTTTGTCACTTAGAAATTATACATGGAAGCTCATGCTTTTTAGACTAAAAATATTAATTTTAATTGTTGAGCTCCTTTCTAAAGGGAAACTATATTTCATATTGCTATACTGAATACAGGAAAATGAATAAGTTCAAATGAGTTTTATAGAGCCCTGATTCCATCAGACATTATACACCCCTCAGCCCCAAAGTCCAAACTATAGTTCAGCAGTATAATATATGTGGTCTCTGGTGACAGAAGATGGGGCATAGCTACAGTTTCTACTCCTTTTAAAATATATTTCAATTAAGAAAAAATGTTAAAGAATTAATAGATTAAAACACCATATTCTTCATATAAAGATTCAATACGGAATTGATAAGGAATTGATGCTAGAAGCTTTGTTGAAACTTAGTGGCTTTTCTGCAATTCCAGTTGTAGAATAATGTAATTGCAATATATTATTTACAGATGTAATATGCTTATATGTAGATTGCCATGAACTTCATTTGAAAGTTGAGCAAATCTGCTAGGTGAAAATATTTTATGTGTTTTGTATTTTTAGGAGACCAATACTGTGGTGGACGACTAGATAAACCAAATGGATCTTTTAAAACTCCAAACTGGCCTGAACGTGATTACCCAGCAGGGGTGACCTGTGCCTGGCACATTGTGGCTCCAAAGAACCAGGTGAGCTGTCTTGTTTTTTTAAATCTAGTTTGATCTATTGTTAAAGCAACAGGCTAGAAAGGAGGCAGTGAGTTCTAGTCCCACTTTTGGCATGAAAACCAACTGGATAGGTTTGGACATGTGACTCTCACTCAGTCCAACTCACTTCTCAGGATTGTTATTCTGGGGAAAATATGAATAAGAAGAAATATGGAATATGTTTACTGCCTTGTGTTATTTATATTGTAAAAATAATAAAAATAGAATTTAAAAAATCTTTAAAATATACACATTTTTAGTCTTCATCTATTTCTTTCTGATTTATAATATATAAATAAGAGCCCATGAGGGTTGAGCAAAGTCCCCCAACCTTCATTTTCACTGGCAAAGGGTTGCAGGAGGCCGTGCAAGCCGAAAATGGAGCTCGGAAGCCAGTTTTCACTTGCAGAGCACTCAGGTGCCACTGACACGAGTGACATTGAGCTGGCCATGCCCACCCTGGTCCCCTGAGGTCAAACACAAATGCAGCCCTCAATGAAATTGAGTTTGACATCCCTACTTTAGAGCATCAATAGCTTCTCTTAAGTGCTTCCTATCCCAGTACAATTAACAATAAAGGCCTCTAAAAAGTAGTAGGAATAACCTTGTGGAACAGGAGGAAGAGTTGCAACCAAGACAATGGTTTGATAAAAGAAATTTGCGTTTGAAGCAGAAATGTAACTTGAGTAAGAAGCTCGGATTTGACTCTCCCTAGAGGGGGCAGGAAGTTGACCCAGCTTCTAGTATAGTCTGTAAGTTACTATTAAATTTATCCAATTAGAAAGTGTGACATCTTGCATTCACAAAATTTAATTGTGAGTTAGTAAATCTTTTATTTAATTATAAGGTCATTGTACCTGTTACAGTATACAATGTTCTACAGTGCGGATGTAATAAAATATTGATGGCAATAACTGTGACATCTCATGCCTAGTAATTGGACTGATGCCCCAAAAAGAGGCACAATTCTCAAGCACTTCAAAAACCCAAACATTGGAGATCTAGCCAGGAAGAACATATGCAACTTTGACAAATAGCAATCGCTTAAGTTATGTTGCTAATCCAGTGAGTCCATCTCTAAAATTTAATGGTAGAGGAACAAATTCAATCCATGTGGATTAATATACTGACATCTGAAATGCATTTTCTACCAGTTTGCCAACAATGCACTAATTGTAACTGAGTTTGGCCACCTTGCTTCTGATTGTTCTCTTCATCTATTTCCTTCCACCTTTCCCAGTATTAGATCCAGAGAGCTGGATCTTCGCATAATGTGTCCAAAGTTGGATAATTTGAGCCTGGTCATTTGTTTCTCAAGTGAGAACTGTGGGATGATTTGTTCAAGTACGCTGATGATGTTACCTAGTATGGTAATGAAATGTCTTCAGGAAAAATAGCCAAGCTTAGAGAGCACCAAGAACTCCATAACTCAAACCTGAGCTACAATTATTCTCTTCTATTGATATATTTGTTGATTATATTTAATTTGTGTCTCTTTTTTCACTATGCTCTTTGACTTTACATCTAGATTGTCCTCTTTAATGTGTTCAATTTTGGCATTCCAGCCTCAACAAGGAATATCTTTCATTGTGTTGAACTTTCCTGTATTTATATATTTGTTAGATAGCGAATTCCTACTTTTTTTCTATCTTTGCAGCTTTAGATTTTTATCCTACATCAGCAACTAAAGACTGTAATCTAGCTACTTCATAAATGCCAACGGTACTCTGAAAGATCCTTAGCTCTTCCTCCATTTGAGTGCCATCGTACCTGAGGGGCCTGTCTTCTGGCACTACATCATCAATCATTTTGTATTTTCTGTCCCAGTGGTTTTCTTGATCAAAATGCAGGAGTGCTTTACCATTGCCTTCTCCTGCAAATCCTGAATTGATAACTTTACCGTTGTACTTAAATTGATCATCTGCCTCTGGCATCTTCCTGTATCACTGCTGCCCAATATAAGATGCCTACCTAAATATAACTTAAGCAGTCTTTCATGTTTGAATGGAAATTCAGATAATGACTAAAGACAGTAACAAAGCTAAATAATAGCTTTGAGATAAAATAATATTTTCCAAACTTAATTTGTTAAACACAAACTTATAAAAAGCTTCCATATAACCACATATCAGGGATGACATATCTGATTTACTTCAATTCAGTTCATATTAAATATATGTCAGTGGAGGAAGGTGATGTTGTGGCCTGCTATCAGCCTGCAGAGCTGGCAGCAGAGTCGGACGGTGGGGAGGAACATGAGCTAGTCATGGAGTCTGGGGAAGGGTCGGACGAGGGATCTGTGTCCGACACAGAGATGGAGCCAGGGCCATCTGAGATTTATGTATTGACTCCAGAGCCTCCAGAACCTGACATCAGTGAAGCAGAGGAACAGAGGGAGCCTGTTCCCAGTGTGCACATGTGCAGACTGCCGAAAGATAAGAATAGTTAAGACAAAAGGGGCGATTTGGGAGTAAGACTTGGAGATGATTGGACATGAGCTTTTGTAGGAAGCAACTTTGTTCGTTCTGGTCAGTTTAAACTCTGAAGCTCCATGTTGACTTTGTGCTCTGTTTGGCCTTGTACAGCTAATTGGCAATTTAGTCGTTGGCAGCATTTCAAGGGAGATAAAGGTAGGTGCTTATCAGCCTTACCCCGAAAGACTGTGGCAGACTTCTGCTGGACTATTCATAAACTGTTTGGGACTCATTATGGGCTGTGAATGAATATAATTCACAGCTGTTGAAATAAAAATAAGGTTTTTGGGAACAGTGTGTGATTGTTACTGTCTCAGGAAGCCTTGGTCAGAACAGATGATTCCAGGACCTATTTAGTTTTATTCTGCACCAAATGTCTTAATTTTTTTCTACAGATTTTATGATTAAAACAAAGGTAACACAATATAGACTTAAAATCCTTGTGGCTTAAGAATGGCTTAAAATGATGTAGGTAAGAATATGTTTTAGGTTTCAAAGAGATTTTCATATTAATAATAAATGAACAAGTGTTTTAACAAGGCCACTCATTATCTTGCAGGTCATAGAATTAAAGTTTGAGAAATTTGATGTGGAACGAGATAATTATTGCAGGTATGACTATGTGGCAGTGTTTAATGGTGGCAAGATTAATGATGCCAGGAGAATTGGGAAATACTGTGGAGACAGCCCACCAGCGTAAGTAAGCTCATTGTCTAAACACCTTTTTGTCAATGCTACAAGAGGGATGGAACAAAATGATGGATCGTTTTATATATATATTTTAAATGGAAGCCTGTTAGAGCCTCAAAAGAGCTTATCTGTTTAATAGCTTTCCAAATTTAGGCATTAAAGCTGATTTTCTCTTCCTTAAAAGTTACTGTAGCCTCAAATTTGATCAATAGAGTATTGTTTCACTACAATACTGATGACTCACATTAATTATCAATAATCCTGTGCCATTTTTCAAGTGTCTAAAGTAAATGTGCAAGTTAAATGATATTAAAAATAACGGATAAGTACCATTGTGTATATAAATGTACAATAGAAACAGTGGGAAGAAAATACTATCATGCTATTTTGAGCACCCCTCAAAAAAAACCTAATTTGGGACCTCAGTGTTCAAAAAGATAGATACAAAAATTCTGCTACTGTGAGCCCATATATACTTTTTCATACATTAGATATTTTTATTGTTTAGCCCATATCACTAATGAAAAGCTTTCACGTTGATATAATGTGATATCCTGTCCTTAGTGGCCCTTATAGATGTTACACTTTTTATCCAAGATCACCATTACATGTGCTCAGAAATGCTTGAATCTATGATGCACAAGTTATTAAGCTGATATCATACTTGGCTTTGTGATCTTACTGATCAACATATTAGCAAGTCACAATCTACCAGTATAGAATAGTACTGAAATGTCCAAGACCACAGAATTCTAGCTATTGAATTTGCTCAACAATTAGCTAAGTCCAGGTTCGTTCTTTATTTCTCTTCTACAGCTCCCTTGATCACCCTGTTGTTCCCATCAATCTTGATATTGATTATAACACTTCATTCCAACTGAGCTTGTCCTAAACATTATGTTGGCTGCATTGGAATAAGAAAAGGAAGGTGCCAGGTTTGAAACCTAATACTGAATTTAGACTCAGTTACATGAGTCCAAGTATGAATTTCATTCTTCACCTCTTCACTTACATTTTCTCTTGATCATCAGTCAATCAATCAGGACTGGAAGGCATCTTGGAGGTCTTCTAGTCCAGTCCCCTGCTCAAGCAGGAGATCCTATACCATTTCAGAAAAGTGACTGTCCAGTCTCTTCTTAAAAGCCTCCAGTGAAGTACCCACAACCTCTGACTGCCAGCTGTTCCACTGGTTAATTGTTCTCACTGTTTGGAAGTTTCTTCTTAATTCCAGATTGCGTCTCTCCTTGATTAGTTTACATCCATTGTTTCTTGTCCTGCCCTATGGTGCTTTGAAAAATAAGTTGACCCCTCCTCTTTGTGGCAACCTCTCAAATACTGGAATTCTGCTATCATGTTCCCCCAATCCTTCTTTTCTCTAGACTAGCCAAACCCAAATCCTGCAACCGTTTTATGTTTTTGTCTCCAGACCTTTAATCATCTTAGTTGCACTTCTTTGCACTTTTTCTAAAGTCTCAATATTTTTTTTATAATGTAGTGACCAAAACTGGATGCTGTATTCCAGGTGTAGCCTTATTAAGGCTTTATAGTCACTATAAATATATTAACACAGAGACTTGATGCTCTACAAAAGTTGATGTTGTGCAGAAATACTAGTAGAGTATTTTTTGAATTAACTATGAAAAGTTTGCATTTTTATACACTTCCATTTTTTGGTATGGATCCATAGGTACTTTTTAACAGTACCTATTGATCCATTTATTCTCTCTTCTTCCACTGTTAATATTTTCCTAAGACCTAAAGTAAGATTTGTAGACAGGTTTGTTTAGGAATTGTGAAGCTTATTTTTTCTCTAAAAGTAAATCTTTATATTCCATATGGAAATTCAGTTTCATTCACAATATTATATGTGCAGGTTATTTATTTACTATGGTCTACAGAGTTATTAATGATAAACCATTATTCTCTTTTAGGCCTATTATATCTGAAAAAAATGAGTTGCTTATTCAATTTTTGTCTGATTTAAGTTTGACTTCTGATGGATTTATTGGTCATTATATATTCAGACCCAAAAGATTACCAACAACCACATCACCAATCACCACCACAACTCTTCCTACTATCCCAGGTGAGCATGGGCTTTCATTTAAATCAGATAAGAAAACAAATTCAAGCTATATTGTAATGTCATTTTTTTTCTCATTTGCTATATTTGTAATGTAACTAGGTGACCAAAAATAATTGTTTAGATTAAACAGATGTGACAGGAAGACCACATATGGGTATTGCTTGACTTAGAAAAGTGGACATATTTTTTACTTAGAAAAGTAGACATGCATTTGCTAATTCATCAGCTCTTAAAATTGTTAAGGACAGGAATTTTATTCTTTGTTCATGAATAATTTTTTTCTTCATAATGCCTCTGCCTTAATCCTCATCATAATCATGAAAAACTTCTGGATTCACAGAAGACAAATTGGACTGTTTTTGCCAATTAGATGTTGTATATTCTTTCAGAATTGGAACTGGTAGGTGCATCATCTGTGCTACCATGAATTCAGGCATCACTGTTCTACACAATTGTATAATTCATGCAGAGCTAGTATACATTGGTTTATTAAAACTTGGCTTGTCTAGATTGTTCAGAGTTTTGCTTTTGAAGGTGACTTTTTCTGTAACTGAACATAAAAACAAGACATAAAAAATGAAAGTCGTTTTTAGAAGAGTTCTGAAACACTTAATTGTTCATTTTGGGTCTCTTTGGAAAGCCTTGAAACCTACAGTCAGCCCGTGCCAGCAAAAATGCAAAAGGAGTGGAACTCTTGAGAGCAATTACTGTTCCAGTAACTTTGGTAAGATCAGATTTCTTCTCCCCACCCCCCAAAAAGTGACTAGGGATGTATGTTTACAGGAGAGGGTTGGAGCATTTATCTGTAAGCTACCATTAGTGCACAAGGAAATTCTTTCAGCTTATATAACTGTACCTCTTGCACTGAACTCTATGACTTAGTTACTTAGTTAGACTGTGAATTTTTTGTTAGAAGAGTTTTCCAATCTAAACACAACAGGAGACTGTTGCTGTATGAATGTTTTGATTTAGTGACATCAGCATGTTGTCTTCTTGGAAGGCTCTTTGTTTTCTTTTTAATTCAGAATGATAAATTCATAGTTCATACTGCTTGGCTCTTAATTGCTATCCTTGCTATCTTCTGAATATGTTTCTTTAATATAATTATAATTAATGATATCAGATAAACTTCATATTCCCCTCTTTTTTCAGTATAAGTATCATTCCTTTATGTTATATCTTAACTGACAAATGCAATTTGTATGTCATATATTAAGGCAGCACAAATGAGTTTATCCAATATTCATAGTTAAACAAGGATATTTAAGCTGCAGTTATTCTTTTTATTAAAGGTGTGCAATGCAATACCCTTTTGTTTCCATTGTTATTCTGTAAATATCTATTCCAATTTCTTTATTCATGTGTTCCTTTATGTATTTTCTATTTATGCTTGTTCACTGCTGAATGATGGAAAAAACTGCTTCATTGTTTTGCAAGATGATTGCAATCTATTCCTCCTAAATTGTCCTTTTTAGTAATAACTGGATCTGTTATCACAACCAACATCAGAGGTGGAAGTTTATATGCAACTGTATCTATCATTAATGTATACAAAGAAGGAAATTTAGCAATTCAGCAAGCAGGGAAAAATCTGAGTGCCAAGATTATTGTTGTCTGTAAACAATGTCCTGTTATCAGAAGAGGTAAGTAAACTCAAAGTAGAATTCTGAATTTTTCAAATGATATTTGTCCTTACTGTTTTCATGCTCATATTTTCCCAGAAACTATATTTTAAGTTGCTCATTCACAGAACAAAACAAAAATAAATTATTTAAATTACAATAAAAAGTGAAATGAGTGAGAACATCCAGAAATTTTGCTTATCTTAAAATCTTTTTAGTATTTGTATGTATTTTATGTTAATAATATAGGTGAGTTGAAAACAGGATGATGGCTTAAGCCATGTTGGCCCTCATAAAAGAATCTGTAGCTCTGTAATCTAAAAGAGGCATACATTATTAGGAAAATAGGCATATTTGTCTCAAAAAATTAAGATTTGAAATTGTATTGTTTATACTCGTAATTTTTAGACTATGAACTTATTGTTTATCTAAACTCATCTAATGAGTTTAAACTCATCTAATCATTTTGTTAACTCTCAAATGTTAAAATGACAGTGAAAAGCTAAACATTGATTGAATACTAAAAGAAAATATCTTTGTGTAAATGGGATAAGAATCCCTGCATCAGTAACTGCAGAATCATGCAGGGTTGGTTCTACTTGTGAAGCTGGCCATGCACGGTTTTTCTTATTCAGCCTTCCATAGCAAGAGTCCCAAACCTCCCAGACCATGTACTGGAACTGATCCATGGCCTGTTAAGAACCAGGCTGCACAGCTGAGGGTCAGATGCGGGCAAGCAAGTGAAACTGAAACCATCCACTCCTGATGCGTGTCTTCCACAAAACCAGTCCCTGGTGCAAAAAAGATTGGGGACCCCTGCTCTATAGAACAGTCCACTCCACTAGGGATGGTCTCTTTATCCTGGGTATCAATTACAAAATGTGGGTTACTGGAGGGTTTATCAAAGAAGATGGAGCAATGAGAATTCATGCTTGCTTGCTCGCCATGGTTGAGTTTACCAACAAGATATATCCAACAAGAATCCTATTTTTTAGAATGACATTCTCTAAATAAGCAGCCAACTACAGTTATCTGATTAGTGGCATAAAACTACAGAAATGCTATATGAGTGTTATACAGATAGTCCTCGACTTACAGCCATTCCTTTAGCAACTGATCAAAGTTATGACAGTGCTGAAAAAAAGTGACTCACAATTGATCCTCACAGTTATGACTGTCACACATCTCCACAGTTACATGATTTTGATTCAGGCACTTGGCAACTGGCTCGCATTTACAATAGTCACACTATCCTGAGGTCGTTTGATTGCCATTTGCAACCTTTCCAGATGGCTTCCAACAAGCAAAGACTTTGAGATGTTGAAATTCACTTAACAACCATGTGATTTGCTTAACAGCTGTGATGATTTACTTAACAAGTGACAAAATGTCATAGAATTAGGCATCTCACTTAACAGCATGGCTTAGCAATGGAAATTCCAATCCCAATTGTGGTCACAACATTTTATCAAATGTTCTTAAATGAGAGATCATAGCACAAGGCAACTAAGCAATGACTACTGGAAAACATAGCCGAATAAATTTTAACTGAAGAAATAGACAAGCATTTTTTATAGTGAACAGAATATTTGAGCAATATTTGCATTTGACCAATATTTTCATATTTGTATTAATTCCATAACTTGAGTAACTTGAGTTCTCTAAAGTCCTTGTTTGCATCTGAAGAATTCAGTGACCAATTGAGCTATATTATCCTTAGGGCTGTAAAGCTGAATTTATCATTTCCTTCTCTTTCAAAGGTCTCAACTATGTCATCATGGGCCAGGTAGAAGAAGATGGCAGAGGTAAACTCCTGCCCAGCAGTTTTACTATGAGTTTCAAGACCAAGAACCAAAAAATCCTGAATGCCTTAAAAAACAAAAGGTGCTGATGTAAGACTTTTTGAAGCTATCTGTTATCCTTCTTTAAAAAACAAAAATCTTCATAGACAAAATTTGCACTTTCCAAACTGGTGTATTTTCTGGATTTTATAGTGATATAATCCTAACTCATTGATTTGTGTTGCAAATAATCAAACAAAAAATGTATTTAAAACCTTTCAGTAACTTGAAAGAATTCATTTCTACTATGCTGAAACTCTTAGTGTTATTGATGTTACAAGTGCAAAATTTATACCGTATTTTTCAGAGTACAAGACGCACTTCCCTCCCGAAAAGTGGGTCTGTGCGTCTTACACAGCAAATGTTGCCAAAGCCCCACCCACCCACTGGCGTCCACCCTTCAGCCTCTGCCTCCCAGCAGTTTGCCTCCTTGCCTCCAAACAGCAAATAGCCTGATCAGCTTTAGCACAGCCTGATTAGCACAATCAGCTGATTGTCAATAGGATCTGCCTCCCAACAATCAGCTGTTTTAGGCTGCAGGGATTGCCATCACCCATTGCTGCCTCCACACGTACCCCATTTTGTGCCGATCCTCGCTGCCTAGAGTGGACCAAAAATGGGGCATCTGGAGGTTGAAAATGGGGCGCATGGAGGCCGAAAGTGGGATGTAGAGGCCAAAACTGGAGCACACAGAGGCAGCAATAGGTGATGGCAGTCCCTGCAACCTGATTGTCAGGAGGCCAATCCAACTGACAATCAGCTGCTTGTGCTAAATCAGGCTGTGCTAAAGCTGACCAGGCTGTTTGCTGCAAGGAGGCAAATTGCTGGAAGGCAGAGGCAGATTTTTTTTTTCCTCCCTGAAAGCTAGGTGAGTCTTATACTTCGGAGCGTCTTATACTCTGAAAAAAATACGGTAATTCATTTTAAAGTTGTTTTCAGTTTCATTATATTATCAATCATGAAAACATTTTTATTGACTAAAAAAAACTAACTGTGCTTTTCAAGCTTATTGCTAATATTTCCTACAGTAGGATTTTGATTCATAGCCTGAAATAAGCGGAAAAATCATATTTGGATCCACTGCATTTACAAGTGGGAAGAGTGAAAAGACTAAAAATCCTAAGACATTACCTCAAAGCCATAATTGTGAGGCAGAAGAACAATATTGTTTTTATGAATAGAAATTTTTCCAACAGTGGAAAGGATACTTTCATCTTTATACACTGAATCCATATTTTGAACTTGATTTTCATCATATTGCTTCAAATGTTAAATATACAGGTTTGATTTTTTTAAAAATCTACTCTGGCTTTGCATGGCTCAAGATTATAGAATGGCTCTAAAGTAAATGTAGAATTTTCAGAAGATTCTAATTTAAATATACATTGGATCCTGGACTTCAGTAGAATTTCTAATAGGATCAGTGCAACTCCACAGTACACTTATTCTTACAGTTTCTAATACATAAGACTATGTCAGATACAAAGAGTATCTTGGCCAATGATAATTTCATTGAGATTTGGCGATACATTTCGGATGTTAGTTTTATCGTCTTAAATTTATAGCTCAAAAAGATAACATTAAATGTATAATTCTAATCTCATTATTTTGAATCTGAATATTTCAAATTCCAGGATGCTTAAACATGAACCATATTATGTTGAACAAAGCAAGATCTTATTGTATCATGTTTTGATATTTTCTATTATTTTTAAATGCTATTCTTGAATATCTTGCTCACATAATAGATGCAAATAAAATACACCAATGCCAAAAACTTTGAATTAAGGCAGACTACAATGAGTACCTGTGGAGTTGGCTCCATAATCCAAAATTATCAAGTGCTATACTTAAATTATCAAGTGCTAAGTTGTGCTATACTGGATTTGCCATATTGTATTTTGACTGACTTTCTATTTTGCAATTTGAGTGATCTATTCTAGTATTGTACTTTTGAAGAACAATATTGGTTTTAAAAAATTCCTTATTAGGTTTTGTTTTATTTTATTGTTAAACAGATTTTCTGCGAGTACAAAATAGAAAATATTCAGATTATTAAGTCCAGAACAAATTGTTTGTAATTCTCTTTTAAAAGTAATACAAAGTACCAAATAAAACCATGTACTAGGTTCAGTGATGTTTAAATATATTTCTTGCCATTATTTTCTGCTAATTGATGAAAGCATATTATTTATAATTTTGACTAAATGGAAGAAAATGAAAGAAAAAATAGGAAAAAATAATATCACAAAACAGCTTTTGTTTGTCTATAATTACACTGTTTCAAAGTTATATACCTTTTTATTATAATCATAACAATAACATGAATGATTTTTCTGAGAATAAACTTGGATCAGATTTTAAGAGTAGTATTACTATTTTTAGAAAAATGCCAGTTTATTTCCATACTGTTCAACTGACAAGATAAATTATATAATACAAAATAGTGTGTATCTTAAGTAAAAAATCTTCAATTTCTTAATCCAAAATCCACCTTCTTCTTTTGGGGGATAATAAATTCAGGTTATTATACAAATGGAATATACAGACAATTCAAAAGAATCATCAACTTTATAACCATATATCACTTTTGGTAATTCTGTGGTGCAAAAATAGATTTGTTTAGGGTATATGGTTGTGAATATGTATTTAAAAAGCCTCAGGAGAAATATTTTATTTAAATTTCATTCTCTTTATTTCCAATAGTTTTAGCAATTATTAGATGACCAGCACCTGTTAGCCACAGTTTGCAGAATTTAATGGAAATAATCAATTAGTATATTTACAAAATAAATAAACATAATTAAACTGGGTATCAATATATACATTAAGACACTCCAACATAAAATATATTTTAAAAATAAATATGAGACTAAAACAAATGATGACTTCAAAAAGTATTTTTTGCAAAATTGAGAGAAAGTAATCTGGTTAAATACAGTATGCTTTCAATGAAAACAGTGAAAATATGTTTGTTGCACTTTACTTGACCCATAACACTTGTAAAATGTTTTACTATAAATATTTTAAGAGAATAAAATATTTCAAATATTTTAATATTGCTTTCATAATGAAGATTAAATCTTATAGTAACTAATACAGTCAACAGAAGTACCATAGTTCCATCTAATTCTGCTGAATTATCTAAAAGAGTAAGAATGTTGAAATTCATTATTTCAAGTATCTCATCTTGGAAATAGCGAGATATAAATAGGAGCTAGAGATATAGATAAAAATGGCACCTTTAGATGATCTCTATGAAATTTTAGTCACCCATCATTTTTCAAAAAAAATATGAAACCATAAAAGTAATTTCCAAAGTATTACATTCTTTGGTATCATTCATCAGTCTTTGAGGACCAAAATGTCACAGGGTTGGCAATATGGCCTTTCAATATTACTCAAACCCCCAAAGAATTCTTTTAAAATGGCATTATATGAACCTAATTTGACAGTTTTCAGAAGTGTAGTTTTTAAAAATATGTTCATAACTGGTTCGTGCTTATATTAATTTAGAAAGGTACAATTGTTTAAAACATGTCAAATATAATTTGTAACTTCATTTTATACTTCAAGAGGGAAAAAATAAACATTTCCTTCTCAAAAGTGCAACAATGTACACATAAATTAGTCAGTATCGATAGGATAATCAGAATATCAAAATTGACCATAACAAAATATTTCCATTTAGCTGACTATACAATTTACAAATTATATACATCAAAAGCTTCACATTAATTCAAAATCACTAGTTACTGTTTCACCACAGAATCTGGCAGTTTTTCCATTGCATTTTAAAAATATATTAATAAAATTACTGCTTTTGAACCAGATTCTCTCCCCATCCAACACACTGCAAATGTAGGTGCCTGAGTGCAATCATTAGAAAAGTCTGAAAATTAGTTTCTTTGATAAAATATGGCATATTTTGATGTCCGAAAACCAAGTAAGTCTCTCATTTCATTTCGGAATTTTGATAAATCCTGTCTGAGTTCATTCAGGTTTTCCACTGTTGCCTCATCAGTACTTTGCATTCTCTGTCTCATGGAAGTCAAGTAACGATGGACTAAACAACACATCACCTTTTGGTAATTTTCATCTCTCTTTTGCTTCAAATTTCTCCACTCCTTTAAATAAATAATGGCAAATTAGATAAATGGATGTAGCAAATCATTTTTTAACTGAATATTAATCTAAATTCTTGAGATATTCAAAATATCAAAAAGAAATCAAACTCCAACCATCCAAATAACACCTTTCCAAAATGTCACAAATTCCATGAATAAACTGCAAGGCGCAAATGACGCCCTATAAGATTTGTCAGCAGTTGCATCAAACAAATAACTAAGTTGCAACTTCTGACTTATCATTTAACCTTTGGATTAATGACAACTTTTGACTAATTTGCTTGGTTTTTAATGTTTTTAATGTCTATAATAAACAAAGTTTGTGTCTCACAAACCGTTTTATCCCTATTTACTGTATTTATATTTGCAATTAATGCCTCCTTACGATATACAGATAGAACATACATATTGTACAATAATGACCAAAATTACAGAAGCTACCATGCTAGCAATCCCTATTGGTTTGTCTATTTCACCTGTCTGTATGGCATTTGAACAAAGAACCTGTCCAAAATATGGTATTTTCTACAGATGTAATTTTTAAAAGTTTGCCCAGGAGTATTTGCCACCAGCCATAACAATCCAGTGTTAAAATCCTAGTTTAAAACTGCCCTGCTATGCCTGTGCATGTGCATTTTTATGCCACAACAACATATGGCCTTATTGTGAATAAGGTCATATTGAATTTGTAAGTTTGCTCTGCTTAAAAGCAATACTATGGATTATTTGAGTTGATTCAAGAAACCTGACCATTATTTTAGGATGCCAATTGGACTGTGACTTGGTACACATCCTAATCCAAAACACTGTTTGCTTTACCATGGTTGTTCAACAAACGTTTTGAATAAACTAAAATTGGTTTGGTTTTCATATCAAAACAAAAGCATACTGACTTTATGACTATATCTACATGAGTAAATATCTTTACAATATCCCCGAAATACTTCCATCCTTAATAATACCAAGATATAAATCGTTATATATAGTCTTCGTTGTTCAGACATAAGTGACACATATAAGAATCAGACAATTATCTATGTGTCAATGTGTGCATCTGCTTACCTATACTAATAAGTATATATCATCAAAAACTTAAGTATATGGAAGTTGCTTGACAATCTAGGGTAACAACTGATTAGCAATCTGGCTAGAACTGATGTTTTCCAGTACTTGTTAAAAATATACTTGCCCTAAAAATAAAAATACCTCTGTTTTGAGATACAAGTTTAATGCAGTTTAGCATTACATTCATAGTGATGAGTTCAGACTCAACCACTGAAAGGCTGCCCAAATTCTATATAGATAAATTAGATTAAGTATGTTGGAGACTTTGATGTAACACATAGAAGTATAATTTGTTTGCTAAGAGAAAACAGCATCCTTATCTACACCACTATTTCACAAACTGCACTTCCTCCCAAAGGATATGTATGTAATTCAAGAAGTTGCCTTCACCTCAAAGCCCTATATGGTACAAGACTGGGTTAATTGCCTTTCACCAGTTAATTCTGCCTATCCACCCACTTTACAGGATAGGCAGGCTCCAGGTCTCCTTAAAGCAATGACTTAGGAGACATGCCTTTTGTGTTGCAGTGTTTTGTTGCCTATTCTTTGGAAATATCTCTCTCCTTGTGCCCTTGAAATTTGGATGGTTCTGACCCGGTTAGTCTTTAGGAAAGGTTTAAAATGTGGATTTTCCTTAGAAAATGCATATGGAAAATCCTTAGGGCTAAGACATTATATGAACCCATATATCCTGTGAGATGGAACGTGCAATTAATGAGCCTGGCTATGTTTTGTTGAATGTGTTTATTTATAGGTTTTGCTTTTTGTTGATGTACGATTCATATTTGCATGACCTTAAATGAGAGAGGTCATTTAATGTACATTGCCTATAGTTATGATTAAGTTACAAGCTATATAAATCTTCCAAAGTAGTGAAGGAACAATAAAAAATAAATGCACATGATTATATAAACAATTCCTTACCTTTAAACTGTTCTGCCGCTTAACTTTGCCTGATGACGTGTGAGAAGAAATCCATTTACTGAGACTGTTAAATATGTAGCAGATTGTTTTAGGAGCAGGAATAATATTGAAAGGTGGAGGTTGTGTACATTTATCATCAAAATAGCTAAGCCAGAGCTTTGCACGAGCAAACTTCCATTCCTTATCTTCATGATTCTAAATTATTTAAAATATATAAGGATGTCAGAAATTTTGCTAAATTATGATTATGTATCAAGATATTGTGTGCTACCTCTATGTCATGTCACTTTTAATATAGGCCACACAAAAATAAAAGGGGTTCAATTATCCAGTCAAGATCTTGACTTTTTCCCCTCCTCCTCCCACACAGACAAGATTTAGCTTATGAATTATTAATGAAGACAAATGAGTCCCATCAGTGTTTTCCAAGCATTATAATGTATTCACCAAAAGTAGAAAACTCCACATCCAAATTGAGAAGACATTATTATTCAGGCTTCCAATTTGGTTATAAATACAATAAAACAATAAACCCTAAAAGTACTTACTGCTATTAGCTGAAAACTTTTATGAAGCATTGCCACTAAAAGCTTGGTAAGAACAATGACAACTACTACATTATATGTGCCAACAATAATAGCACCCACAAAAGACTGCAATTCTTCACCATAATTAAATCTGGTGACAAATAGAGCTACATGTGCAAGGGAGAATATATACCAAAACAGAGCAAAGCAGGTGCCAATAAACCTAAGGATAGAAAAAAAAACTTTGATTAGATAACCCTTGAAATACATAAGGAAAGAATAATTTGTTGTATTGCTCATGATGTTTAAAATCCAGATTAAAATATGAATGCTATTCTACATCACTTTAATGTTTAGGTCCAAAATTGTATAGGAGCATAGTGAGAGAGAGAGAGAAAGCACATGATACATATATAGCAGGGTGAAACTTAGTGTGAAAATAGACATACTCTATAATATGTGTTTTGATTAATAATTCAGGATAAAAATTAACTTTATATATGTGGCTCTAAAATAACTTCATTGAAACTTCATGGTGTAATATGTGAATTGGATTTTAATCTGCATTGGTTTACATATATCATAGATATAATTTATCTCACAATATATGTAAACATTTGTAAATATATAGTGAAAAATAAATGTCAAAATGCAGAAATAAATACAAATACATTAATATAGATCCATGCAAAATTTTGAAAGTTCTGAGATTAACACAAAAATAAGATGGAACAGAAATATGGGTAAATACATATAAACTGGCATGGACACTCAGTATTTAAGAGACAGCTAATCATATTTGTTTCAAGGTTGACTGACTAATATTTAAATGAAAGAGTATAAGTAGAAGTGAAAGAGAAGATGGTAGAGGTTTGGTATTATTTTTCCAGTTGTGAGTATGAGAGAAAAGAGAGCTGTTGCAATTTGTAAGTTAAATTTTTCAACTCATTATTGAATGCATTTGACATCAAATATAATATGTAGCATTATGATTGCTCTGTAGGGTACATTATATAATTAAGTAAAAGCATTTGCTCAAACAGGACTGTAGTAAATCTTTCGTAGAGTCAATTACTGTACATGCTTAATAAATGCCATTTATATATACTATGGAATCAACTAAAATTTAAAGTAAGGGAATTAAGAATTTTATTATCAAGATGACAACACAAATAACTTCTAGAAATTAGCAAGTACCACACAAGGTACAAGCAAAGCACTAGCAATATGCAGAGTCAGAGAGCACTGAAACTTACGAATGGAATGTGTCATTGTTTTGCTGCTCACAAAAAATCCCAGCACAGTCCTTCTCTTCATGGGTACTAAATCCTTTATCATAAAGTTGAGTCAACCCAATCGTGAATGAGAACAAAACCAAAAGGAACATACCAAGAAATTTCCCAAAATCTTGCAACATCTGCCCCATTGAAATCTGTAAATACATATCATTGAAGATTACTTAAATTAATAGCAGGTGATGGCAAATTAAAGCAAAAACAAAAGAAAAGGAGACAGGCAGAAAATTCTGTGAAATTACAAGAGTGTGTTTCTTTAAGAGCAAATGGAATGTTTAATTTCATTTTATTTTGATGAAAAAGTAAAAAGTATCCTAAGTGAATAATTAGTTTAAAATGGCAAATATTCATAATGTAATGAAATATATTATTCTATAAAATTTAATTAAAGAAGTTTTAGACCAGATAACTGAAAGCTAATTATTTTTTTAAAAGTATACATTTATATTATTGTTTACTTAAAAATAAATCTACTTATTTACTGAACTTTCTTCCTGCTAAAAGATATATACATCTTCATTTTGAGGCAATGTATCTAGGGGTACAAGAATACTAGAGCTTGTAAAACTATGAACTATATAACTTTAATTCTCAGTCCACTTCCCTTCCCCCTCAAATCCTGAAAATAATAGGCATAAAACATTTCTATTGTTTCACAAATAATTTAGTATCACATATTTGATGGAATTAATAGCATTTAACAAACTGTTAATAGCAATAGCAATAGCACTTAGACTTATAAACCGCTTCACAATGCTTTACAGCTCTCTCTGAGTGATTTACAGAGTCGGCATATTGCCCCCAACAATCTTGGTCCTCATTTTACTGACCTCAGAAGGATAGAAGAATAAGTCAACCCTAAACTGATGAGAATCGAACTGCCAAACTGTGGCAGCCACTATCAGCAGAATTAGCCTGCAGTACTGCATTCTAACCACTGCTGATAACACTGATTTCACTTAGAAGTATATGCATAATGTTAGCATACAAATAAAATGTACTCCCAACTCCCCCCCCCCTTTTTAAACCATTTTCACATAATTAACCATTTCAATTAGAATTATTTAATAGCAATAATTTATTTAATGAATATTTCCAAGGTATTTTTGACACTAATATTTCTATAAAGTGATTTACAATGAATCTAAAAACATGCCCACTGTATTAACAGCTTTTCAAAATTTATTTAATCAAAATGTATTATTTTGTCAATACCAATGAAGATATACTGCAATAATAATATGCGGTAATATGCCTCACATTTCATTTGATGGGATGCCTTTATAGGCATTTGAAGATTAAGTTCTATTTCTATTTCTATTTCAATATCTCATTGAATGGGTGGTTTTGTTTTGTTTTTTGCCTGTTTGGGTATATTGGAATGCTGACTTTGCTTACAGGGAGTAATGAAAATGCATGTCACAGCTTTAGCACATAAAGAAATGTGTTACATGTTGAATCTTTTCAAGGTGAATTAAAATCTGTATTCTTAATGGTTCTAATTATTAAAAAGGAATTTGCAAGAGAAATTGTGAATAAAAATGGAAGAAATATGAAGAAATAAGTACAGACAACAGAACAGTATTTCATAGATATTATGCATTTATGCACAATTCATTTATTAACACATTTAAGTGTTCATCTATAGAGGAAAAACACTGCCCCTTGATACACTAAGAATATATATACATATACATATACATATACATATACATATACATATATATATATATAATCAATTTATAAATAAATAAATATTACCAGTTAAATCATATGGAATTTAATTCTAATTTTGTTTCTAAAATTTTGATTCAATGAAGCAACCAAACCTTACCCATATAGGCATAAGCCTGCATAGCTAGTTCAACAAATGATAGGGAAGGCAACTGTGAATACACTCAAATTATTTCAGTAAGTTTAATTAAGCCAAGAAGGTTTATTTAAGCCAAGAATTGAAAAACGAGGTGGTTATATGCTACTATTGCATCAATGCTGATAGTCATGTAACAAGATACCTGAAGTGGACCTAGGATGGAGCTTGTTGTATACATGAAGAACAGTCGGAGATAACTGAGAACATTAGCAAAAGCAAAGAGTCCTTCAGCCACAAGTGTAGGGTGGAAAGCATCCCAATCCTTCCTCTCAGCAAAATCATGGAACTGGAATTTTTAAACAAAACTTCAGATATAACTGATAAATAGTTCAGCAGTATCTCTCATGAAACATATTTCATTATTTAATAAGTTACTACACAACCAAGCTTGTTGAAATACCTATGTGAAATATAGTATGTGTATACCACCACCACCCCACACACAGATGATTGTAATCCATCAGTTTATTACTAGAAAATTTGGTGTGCTTTATATTTAAGAAATGAAAGCCAAACTATTGGCTTGTATTAAGTATTTAGAAAGTTATTTCTAATTAATTTTGATAATACAGTATATGCATAATACCCATAACTTATGAAAGCTATTATGATAATTCCAGATATATCTTTCAACGGTATTGTAATTTTCTTGTTATTTCACATTCTATTTTTGGAAATGTACTTTACTCATATATACTGTAGTTATCCTAGAAAGAATTTTTGCAAACAAGAAAAAACAAACAGGAAACATTGAAAGCTTTTTACATTAATTTAACATTTTTAGTTCTTTTTGTGTCACTTTTAGTTTTGTGCTTTGCCCAAAGTTCACTGGAGATGAGCAGCCAAATAAATTTAAATAATAACACATAAATGCATAAATAAAATGCCTACTTTCTGTAGCAGCATTAAATATATACAGACTGAACTGAAAAACATACCAGACAATTTTAAGAATGAATGTCCTTAAGACTTCAGTTGTTGAAAAATACAAAAACTTAATACTCATGTTAACGTAAGAATGACTATTTACCTTATTATGGGCAACAACTTTGAGAGCAAAAGTTGCCAAATACAAAGAATTCATGACAAAACTAAGTTGATTTCGTGATTCTTCTAAAAAGTCTTCCAAGCCATCATACCAAAGTCTTTTAACATCTGACCATACCATTCCTTACAACAGAAAAAGATAAAAGGTGTTCAGTCTCAGTATTGTCTATGTATAATTTTAAATAACTGAAAGACCAGTCTAATAAAGGACTACTCATTCCAAGGAGTATTTAGTGAAAAAGACAGATGACAGTATTACAAAATTTGATACCGAACCCTGAATTACCTACTATTCAATATATTCCAAATAAACTAATCAATTACCTTACAAAAATAGTTTTCCACTATAAATACGTATCGTATTTTTCTGTCTATAGGACACACTTCTCCCCCCCAAAAAGAGTGGGTAGAAATGTCTGTGCGTCTTATGGAGTGAATATTGCAGCAGGGGGAGAGGGGGTTGATGCAGTGGTGGCCACCACCACTTGTCACAACCACCGCCACTGTTTGGTGCTGCTGGGGAATGCTGGAGCCTTCACTGCCAAGCAGCTGATTGGCAATTGGATCAGCCTCCCGGAATAATGCTGATCAGCTATTCTAGGCATTGAGGATCGGAGGCACCATTTGCTGCCAATCACTGGCAATTGCAGCTGTGGCAGCGGTGCTAGGTGGTGGCAATCCCTCCCCCTAGAACAGCTGATCAATGGTATTCCGGGAGTCCGATCCAACCACCAATCAGCTGCTTGGCTGTGAAGCCTCCAGCATTCCTGGCAGAGGCAGCAGACACGGAGGAAACAGCAATGGCAGCATTTCCAGTCGGCCAGCCTAATGTTCAGTGGGGCTACAAGAGGCCGGGATCCAACTGTCACTCAGCTGACTGGTGGTGGGTTCAATGGAGCACAGCCCTGATGAGCCACATGCTGGGGCTGCAATAAGGTGATAAAGTTGACCAGGCTGTTTGCTGCTAGGATGCTAGCCAGATGAATACCTGATGGATGCTGGGAGGCAGAGGCAAATATTTTTATCCCTTATTTTCTTCCTCTAAAGCTAATGTGCATCTTATGGTCCAAAAAATACAGTAATCATATTTAATAATAAATATTATACAATATTGTTTTAGAATAAGACAAAATTGTTGAGAATATGACTGGGTTTGTCTCCCCCTCTTGTTATTTTTCAACAACTTTTTTTCCCCCCAAAAAAAGTCAATAAAGTCAATGAATTTTTTTGTAATATATTTGTATTGAAGGTAAAACTCAAAAGTTGAGAGCAATATCTTTGCATAACATGCTAACTTAAATCTGGTACAAACAACTGACAAACTATTTAGTCAATGGCAAACAGTAGGTGACACAACAACTTGATAAAAAATTCACATCAACTTGTGAAAAGCCTCATTACCATCACAGTCATTTGTTCACTGGCCTGTTTTTAAAATGCTGAATATTCCTACAGTTCAGAATGTTGATATAATATAAATGTGACAATAAGTCGAACCACTATATGTGGCCCATTATAAAGAGCTCCATAGGTCTAGGACAGTGGTGGCTAACCTTTTTGGGTTCCTGTGCCAAAAATTGTGTGCGCGCTTGCACACTCGCGTGCTAGCATCCAGAAGACTATGCATACTCCCCCCCCATGCCCCCTACGTATGCACGTGCAATCCTCATATGCCCAGCCACAGCACTGCCCCCCCCTTACCTGCACTGTGCCTCACAGCTAATTTTCGGTGGGTTTGAGGCTTCAGAAAGGCTTCTGCAGGCTTTGCAGGCCGAAAACTAGCCCTGTTTCGTCACTTCCGGTATTTTTGAAAAAACAGGAAGTGATGAAACAGGGCTAGTTTTCAGCCTGCAGAAGCCGTCCTCAAGCTTTTGGGAGGCCAAAAAAGGCCTCAAACCCACCGAAAATCAGCTGTGAGGCACGCGCATGCACACTGAGGTAAGTTTGCCTGCAGCTTGCGTGCCGGCACAAATGGCTCTGCATGCCACCTGTGCACGCGTGCCATAGGTTCCCCATCACAGATCTAGGACAATTTGCTGTGGGCAACTTACTGCAGCCAACTCATGCCAGGACAACTCACCATAGCCAACTCGCCATAGAACAAATTACCCTCAGACAATGCAACATTATATTAATTGTTTCATTCAGCTACTTTTATTATTGGTGACCATATTTTCATCAAAAGTAACTCTTACATTTCTGGATTGACTTTATTTTATTATTATTGGCCACGGTTCCATATAAATTAATTTAACTTTTGTATTTGTTGAATTGTCCTACAGTGAGTTGTCCTGTAACAAACTGGCTGTGAATTGGCTGCAGCAAGTTGTCCCATTCTATGCTGTAATAGCTTAGTTTTGTAGCTTTATTTACTTTTTGGTACATTTACACTTCTTTCAGAAGTAATGTTTAAGGATTACAGATCTCTTCACATTTTACCATGAAAAAGGTCATTTCTGTAACTGACATTACTTCCTAGTATTACTCTTTCAGTAGTAGATATCTGAAGATATATTTAATCTTAACCACAATACATTTTTTAAACTTCGTTAAGGTTATGAAATGCTTGTAACCACAGTTACATAGAGAAAATGAGCACACCAAATGCATCAAGCAATTATTATTTCATAGGCTTATCAGTCTTAGGAGACCAAAATATGATTTGCAATTTTATTGATATAAAGAAAATCACACCAAAAGTTGGTACGTTTATTTTAAAAAGCAATGAGTGGTGCAAAGTATTAGCAAAAAGCATTTTACAAAGCAGATTAAGGCAAACAAAAATAACTTGTTTCATGTGACCCATGAAAGCAGGCATTTTCCTTTAGAAAACTTGCATGGGTGTTTCAAAGACTGCCCTCTACTATCTGTGCATGTACTTTGCTGGGAGTTTCAGCAGAAGTATCTCCATGTCTACATAAGCACACGTTTAGAAAGTTCTTCTATAGCTGCTTAATGCTTTGAGGAGGGTGTTTTCCTTCTTCTAATATACTTTTCAAAATTCTGCATACTTCACATAGACTTTTAATGCAATGATACTGAGAAATAGTTTCTGCGCCACTGCTGGTTCTACTATCATATCAGATTGCTGGTTCTTGAAGGATCAACTAACACATTTACAGACATAGATGAGGTGCAAGAATAAAGACGCTCCATCTGCATCTACCTAGATTCTGCCTTCCTGCTATTATAACTTTTTATGTGACTGGAAGCACAGATTTTTCTAACTTTGCATTCATGCATACAGGCAGTTCAGTTCAGTTCACTGATATTCAGCCCACAGTTCTTCTTATAAAATGGTATGTTATATTAAAGTATATATATCACATCAGGTGGCCATCCAAAATTTATTCATTGACAAAGTCAGAATTTTAACAGTTTCATATTCTTTATACTTACCAATGAGCCACAGTATTAGAAGATAGTCTATTCTCTCTAATGCTGGTCCCATTGTGTTTTTCTTATCTTCATTGTAGACAAGTGAGTACAAATTAAGTAATAACAGAAATGTAAAATAAGAAGCTCCATGAATAATAAATTTCATAAAAGGAGTATGAATTATTCTGCCTATTTGAGATCTTGGTGCCAGTAAATAACAAAAAGATAGTAGAGGCCAAAAGATGCCAACTGTCAAGACTGTCAAAATCTTCTTAAATGTATGCTTGCGTCGATAACCAGCCATTTGTCCAAACCAGACAGTATTGAGAAATTGCTGGCAATTAGATTGAGAAACAAACTGCAATAGAAAAATATTTTACATGAATAAGCACTTTCTAAAGAAGCTAATGATTTACATTCTTGGTTTAAAAGAATAACAAAAGTAGGCAGAAATAATTAGCTACATAGTAGCACTGGAGGGTAAATTCATTTTAAACATGTATGTTCTATATAATTAAATATAATCGGTTAATTAAACTTCATTGTATGTTTAAAGCAGATACTCAATCTTTCTCATTTTATGTTTGCTAATACTAGAACAACTGTAAATAGTGTTTTTGTGATGTCCTCAGCCCTATCTGCTGATCTGGTGATGAAGGTTGCATTGTACTATAAGCACTACTTCTTTTTACCATATTTTTATATCACATCAGAACATTCATATACAAAAAGCAAGACCTGAAATGTACCAGTGCAATGCTGTTTTTGTTGGACTCACCAGCTTGACACACAATAAAATATTTAAAATCTTAACTATTATAGCAACCACATCTCATAATAACCATTACTTGGGGCTGTGCTTTCTCAGAACTATATGTGTGAAACAGATTTCCCATTTTACAGGACAATGCTCTTTAAAACACACACAGACAGGCAAAGTATTAGAGCTTTGCCAGGTTTATAAACTGACAACATATGGCTTTTAATCCAAAATAAGAAACAGTAGGATTGTAAAAATAGTTACTGACTTTCAGCTAGGAATAATTGGAATAATAATTATAAATATAATTGGGAATGCGGAACAAAAAAAAACTTTAAAAATGGCCACATGAGAAACAGTAATGTGAAAGTGTTGCTTACATTAGTGTCAGTTATCTCCTGCACAAAATCTTGCACCATATTTTACAGAGGCAATTAACTTCAGCAACTGTAGTACCATTACATCATATGTCAGCCAACAGAAATTGGATGAAGTAAAATTCAAAACACTGTGTCACATCAGGTGTATGAGGTAAGAATCAGAGCAGCAAAACCAGCGAATCTCTGAGCTGTGAAAAGGAACTCGTACTAATAAGGCATTAATTCTCCCTTGCCATATTTGTCCCACAAATACATTGACTATTGTCTTATATAGAGAAAAGTATTGTGCTATGCTGCTAATGTATATCCTATGTTTATATCACAGATAGTCATTGAGTTCCAACCATAATTAAGACCAGAAATTACATTGCTAAGCAAGGCAATTGTTTAGTGGTGCCCAATTTAAAGGCTTTTTTGTCATGGTTGTTAAGTGAATTATGTAGTTATTAAGCAAATTTGGCTTCCACCATTTACTTTATTTGTTGAAAGCAGGCTGGGAATGTCACAAATGATGATCACATAATCCACCCTTACACCAGTGCCAAGAGCCCAAGTTTTGATCATGTGACCACAGGGATGCTGCAGTGTTCATAAGTGCAAGGACTGTAATCCTACATTACTTTTTTCAGGATTTTTTCATATGGTCACTAAACAAAAGATTGTAAGTCAAGGACTTTATTAGATTGTATTCAATTAATACTACAATTTTTCTAATGATTAGAAGTTGGAAACTTACTAAGACACATATCTGTTTTATCCCATCTATTTGTAACCAGATTCTATATTTAATAAATCAAAACTGACATACTTCCTTTTGGTTATACTTAATGGCAAGCTTTAGTCGACTCAAATTCATTCTCTCTTCTAGTAATCCTCGTTTATCCACATGTTCATCACTTGCAGTGTGATTCAATATAACTTCAAGCTCCCGGGAATTTCGTGCCTGAGCAAGTAAATCTTTAGCAAAGGTTTTGCACTGCTGAGCCAGTTCTTCATAATCATTTCTAGCAAATACACAAAGTAACAAAAATTACTTCTAATGCTAATTTAATATAATCCAATACCAATTAGATTTAATCTAAAGCTAATACAAACAAAAAAGAAGAATATCGTTTTCCTGAACAAAATTGATACCAGACTGGAATCAACTACGTAAAATCAAGTTGAGTCAAATAAATTATTTCAGTTACTGAAAAAGAACAAACTTTAAAAAAAATAAAGATTGTATAGTAGTTAAGGTGCTGGACTAGGACCAGGAGATTCAGGTTCAAATCCTTCAGGTATGGATGACTTTAGCTATGGAGAAAACTGGAAGCAGGAATGCTATATATCTTGCCATCCATTCATAAATTCATAAGAAATAAATAATTTAAATAATTTAGCTACATTGTCATTAAATATCCCTTAAAGGGATATTTCATTTACTAGATTTATGACTAACTTTTATCACATACATTTTAATGCATTTGGGAGTGGAGTTTTATTGTGCCCTTTGTTAGAACTGAAGTGGGTTTTATATATATATTGTAAAAACAAATTAATAAAATCAAATAAATGTTAGAGATACCAGTAGTGCTGTGTTGATTTTTATTAAATTTGGAACTTAGTATTTGGATGATAACACCAGAAATCTCTGAGCTTTAAGCAAATATAAATAATGGCACTAGGAATGAAGCCTGAGTTGAAGAAGACTTGATCTTTTAAAGTACTCAGTGATACATATGGATTATTAGTTCTAATTTTTTTAAAAAATCATTTCATTACCATGCAGAATGGAATTATGTTATCAAAATAGAGAATAAAATATTCATGAATGCAACCTTATATTTTTCTTGGCAATAGTGCCAAAGTAATTTGTCTCTGTGATCTTCAAGATATGTCAGTATATGCCTGTAATTTAACTACATCTGTTGTTGTTAGTTGCGAAGTCATGTCCGACCCATTGCGACCCCATGAACAATGTTCCTCCGGGCCTTCCTGTCCTTTACCATTCCCCCCCCCCCCGAGTCCACTTAAACTCACGCCGACTGCTTCAGTGACTCCATCCAGCCACCTCATTCTCTGCTGTGCCCTTCTTCTCTGCCCTCAACCGTTCCCAGCGCTAGTCTCTTCTCCAGTGAGTCCTTCCTGTTCATTAGGTGGCCAAAGTATTTGAGTTTCATCTTCAGGATCTTCATCTTCATCTTCTAAAGAGCAGTCAGAGTTGATCTTCTCTAGGACTGATAGGTTTGATCACCTTGTAGTCCAAGGGACTTGCAGGAGTCTTCTCCAGCACCAGAGTTCAAAGGCCTCCATTCTTTGGCACCCAACCTTTCTTATGGCTCAACTTTCACAGCCATACATTGCAACTGGGAAAACCATAGCCTTGACTATATGCACTTTTGTTGGCAGGGTGATGTTTAGCTTTTTAGTTTGCTGTCTAGATCTGCCATAGCTTTCCTCCCTGGGAGCAAGAGTCTTAATTTCTTGAGTGTAGACCCCATCTGCAGTGATCTTGGAACATAGGAAAATAAAATATGTCACTACCTCCATTTCTTCCCCATCTATTTGCCAGGAATTGAGAGGGCTGGATGCCATGATCTTAGTTTTCTTAATGTTGAGTTTCAAGCCAACTTTTGCACTCTCCTCCTTCACTCGCATCAAGAGGCTCTTTAGTTCCTCTTCACTTTCTGCCGTTAGAGTGGTATCATCTGCAGATCTGAGGTTATTGATATTTCTCTCTGCAATTTTAATTCCAACTTGTGGTTCATCTAGCCCCGCCTTTCTCATGATGTGCTCTGCCTATAAGTTAAATCAGCAAGGTGACAGTATACAGCCCTGCCGAACTCCTTTCTCAATTTTGAACCAATCAGTGATTCTGTGTCCACTTCTCACTATTGCTTCTTGACCCACGTGTAGCTTTCTCAATAGACAAATAAGATATCTGGTAGTCCCAACTCTTTAAGAAAGAACCTCACTTATTATTCTCCAATAATTAATATATAACCGGAGTAATTGTATTTGAATCAAAAAGTAACACAGCATAAACTTGTGTTGATTTTGCCCTTAACTAAACATTTGCTATAGATCATTGAAATATATATATAGTACCTTCTAAGTTAATTGTAAACCTATGACCTTAACTTAAAACAGTTCATGAAATATTTGTATTAGTTCCTTGTTCTTTAGTAACAACATTCAGATATATTATTTATTCCTCAGTATGTTTGTCTAGGAATAAGAACTATAGAATGTGTGACTCATTTCTCAGTAACTGTTAATGAGTTTGCATTAGAAACTTTCTGTTTACAACATGTATATAGTATTGTTAGTCAGGCTCACTTGTGATATGCATGCATCAAATAATATCATGCTGCTGAAATTACAGTAGCAATACATATTATCCATACCTGAATTCAACTTCTACTAGGCTTAATTCTCTTAAGTCTGCACTAAGTTCAAAGGCTCTCAGAATTGGATCCTCTTCTGTCAGCATTATTAAGGCAGGACTAGATAAACATCGATAAATATCGAGACGAAATCTGCAATGGCAATGTTAAAGAATACATCTTAAGATAAACAATTTTTATTTGATTAAACATATCAACTCATTATTTATATGAAACCTATTTTAGAAATCTGACATATTATCAATAAGCGAAAGAATTTCCTCCAAAGTATGTCAAAAGAAAGTCCTTAAATGTTTTTAGTTTAAATATTGATAACAAATTTAATTAAAGACTTGATTATAAGATATACTGGTATTCATTATTGTTCAAAGGACAATTGTTTTAGATTAAAATTCTCAAAACATGCGAACTCATTAATCCTACTCAAAACAACTTTGTCAATTTGGGATATTATATCCACCACTGTAATTTCATGATAATAACAAAAATGTTGCTAGTATCTACCTTAGAGGTTCTGAGCAACTAGATGTGTCAAAATATTCCTTTTCCTCTCTTGACAATCTGATTTAATTTCAGCTCCTGATTTACTCTGGGTGCAATGCCACTCTCCCTGAAAAAGCAGGCCAATAAAATATGCCAAAGTTTTGGCCAAAGGGACTTTTATTCCAGCTTCTGTTTTTGTGACAATTATGGCCTTTGGGGGAGAAAGAAGCCTTTGCAATAGTGACTTACTGTATGCCTTTATCAGTTATAAAGTAGAATACTGCCATGCTTTCAGTTTTCGGCTACCTTTGGAGACCACCCAGAAGCTATTGTTGGTATAAATCTAACTCTGCGCCTACTGCCTGGTGAAAGTCACCACAGTTAAAAAACATTAGCCCTGCATTAGTTGCCAATAAATTGTCAAGTATAATTCAAAATGCTGGTTTTGACCTGTACTAAACCTACATGGTTGAACTTCCAATTAGCTTCAGAATTGCCTTCTCCGAATAGAATCCCCTTTGCAATCTATTTGGGAATAGGATATGCACATTTATGGAACAGTTTGCACCCAATATCATATTGGCCCTTGAGTTATGCTTTTTATGAGGGCAATGAAAGCAAGTATTAATCTGCTGTTTTAATCCACATTAATGAATTCTGTTTACCTGTTTTTATGAATAATATGTTTTAAACTGCCAACATATTAACAATTTATAGTAATATGAAAGAAAAAAATAGTTCCTTGTTTATAAAAGCCTCTTTTCAGCATTACTAGTGATATAGGAGGAAACTGATTTACCACCAGTGAGATGGCTAAACCATTGTGTTCATTACTGTATAACGACCATCAGAAATTATCCAAATATTTTTCACAATTCTCAGATGGCAGGGATTAAACTTAACATCTTTTTCATGCAAAGGTACCATACTCTATCAAATATATCTTTGTCATGAGCATTCATTTTATTCTAAAATATAAACTAAACTCCTTTATTATTAAGGTGGGAAATGGTGGAAAAACTGCAGATACAGATGAAGATCTAATTATTGTTAACCTGGAGTGACGTAAACTATCTTTTTTGTTCTTGGCTGTACACAATGTACATTCACACCCCACAGCATGAGGTTTGGGTAGCGACACATCCTGTTTTAAGAGCATTGTAAGAATTTCATAGTTGTTACGGTGAGCAGCTAAAATGACAGGTGCCACATCCATAGTTGTTGAGTATTCTGGATTCTGAATACGTTCCATTAATTTCTGCAACAGATAGACAAACATCTGAGAAAATAAATTAAGCTTGATGAATTACTAATGCAGAGATAATATCTAAGAGACATCTGATTTTAAACCAAAACATACATTTTAAGGTATTAAATATTTTTAATTTCAAAATTACTAAACTGGATGCAATGATTGATAAATGTTAACTAAGTACATTTGTTCAATTAAGAATTTTTTACTGAAATGAAAAATGAATACATGGTTCTAAAGTCCATATGCTATTTCTCTTATTTCTAGTTATAGGGTACTAAGAAGTAGAATGAATAAACTCAATTATGCTTGTTATATGTTCCTCCTTCTTAAGCAGCCAGTTGTAGACACACATTTGTATAATAGTACTTTAAGTGATAAAATAAAAAATAAATCAATGTGTATGGGATAATTTGAACAGTAACTTCTAGTGATTCTCACAATTTTTTAAAAAATGTAATAGAAAAGACCTTGTGGGATGTATTGAAAATAAAACAATTACACTATTATATTTGCATTACATTTACTGTATACAGCCACTGCTCCATAGATCTGGAGTATATGATTCTTAAATGCAGACCTATATATCTTCTGCAGGAATTCAGTGTGGCTTTGATTACTGCAGTCTATGTCCCACCCAGGGGTAGGATTCAAATTTTTTAACAATTGGTTCTGTGGGCGTGGCTTGGGTGGTGGGCGTGGCTTGGTGGTCATGTTATGGGTGGGCGTGGCCAACTCAATATCACTCACATCAAGGCACACATCTCCTTGCCTGGCCTCTCATGACTATGAGGATGCTGCAATAGTCCTAAGTGTGAAAAACGGCCGTAAATCACTTGTTTCAGTGCCATTGTAACTTTGAATGGTCACTCCACATAAGCAAAGGAGGAAAGGAGGAAAAAAAACTCCAGAAAAGTTCCAGAAACAGGAAGACTAGTCCTGCCAAGAATGTAATAAGAGTTAATTGAGAGGCAGTTTCTGTAAGCAACACCAGAATGTTTCCTTCCTGCCTTCCTTACAGGATTAGGCCAGTAATTTCTTCTAACAACCGGTTCTCCGAACTGCTTAGAATGTTAACAACCGGTTCTAGTGAATAGGTGCAAACCTGTAGAATCCCATCCCTGGTCCCACCTGATGCTAATACTATCATAGCTTTGGGATTCTTGTATAACATTGTTAGTAATCAGCAGAATAAGTCTTCTGATGCTATGCATATCATAGCGGGGGACTGTCATCAAGCTGATTTAAAAGCAGTGCTCCCTAAATTCTATCAGCAGGTTAAATGTGCAACTAGAGGACCAAATATATTGGACAAAGTATATACCAACATCAAACATGGCTATAAGGTTATACAATTACATTTGGGACAATCAGACCATATGTCACTGCTTTTAGCACCAGCATACATCCCTCTTAGGAGATGGGATGCCTATAATAAAGACAGTGAAATCTTGGCCAGAAGATGCTCCCCAACAACTTCAGGATTGTTTTGAGAACACAAATTGGGACATCTTTTACCAGGCGCACACTGCAACTGTTCTGTGCTATATCAAACACTGCGCAGATACTATCACTGTGGATAAACGTATTAGGATCTATCCCAATCAGAAATCCTGGATGACCAAGGAAGTCCAGCGCCTCTTGTGTGACAGGACCAAGGCCTTTAGGTCTGGTGATGGGGCAAGATACAGTGTTGCCAGAGCTAATCTGAAGAAAGGTATTAGGAAGGCCAAGACTGATTATAAGAGGAAGATTGAGGATAATTTTTATAGCAGTAATAATGTTAGCCCTGCTGAGGGAGATGCTTAATTGGCAGAGGAACTGAATCATTTCTTTGCTCACTTTGAAGTGGAGATATCAGAGACAGATAAAATACAACCACCAGCCAAATGTAGCCCCCACCTCATTGTGGAGGAACAGGAGGTGAGGAGCATTCTGAGGGCTGTGGACCCTAGAAAGGCTGCCGGTCCTGACGGTATCTCTGGCCAAGTGCTTAAAGACTGTGCTGATCAGTTGGCTGGAGTTTTTACCAGGATCTTCAATCGGTCTTTATCCCAGTCCACTATTCCATCTTGTTTGAAGGCTTCCACCATTGTTCCGCTGGCAAAGAAGTTCCCTATCAATAACTTCAATGATTACAGACCAGTGGCACTCACTCCTATCATCAGAAGTGCTTTGAGAAATTGGTCTGCTGGCACATCATTTCTGATCTTCCGCATACATTTGACAAACATCAGTTTGCATACAGAAGAACTAGATCTACAGAGGATGCTATAGCCATCACTCTTCACACTGCTCTGACTCATCTAGAACAGCAGGGGGGGCTATGTGAGGATGTTTTTTGTAGATTGTAGTTCTGCATTTAACACAATTCTTCCACATAGACTAGTGTCTAAACTTCTGGACCTTGGCCTTTCTTATTCAATCTGCCTTTGGATTATGCATTTCCTGTCTCGCTGCTCACAGAGGGTCAGATTAGGTAATCATACCTCTTCAGCCCTTATTCTTAACACTGGTACACCACAGGGTTGTGTGTTGAGTCCCTTACTCTATACTCTTTATGTGCATGACTGCATTCCCACTCATGCTAGTAATACTATTGCTAAATTTGCAGATGATACATAAGTGGTAGGACTCATCTCCGGGGCGGATAAGACTGCCTATCGAGATGAGGTGGACTGGTTGCTTTCATGGTGTGGAGACAGTAACTTGGTCCTCAACACCAATAAGACCAAGGAGCTTATAGTGGACTATAGAAGGAACAGATCAGACATCCCAGGCCCTGCTTATCAATGGAGACAGAGTGGAGCAAGTGGCCAGTTTTAAGTTTCTAGGTGTTACCATAAAAGAAGACCTAACCTGGGGTGCCCAGCAGAGATTATATTACCTGAGACTTTTCAGAAAACAACTGAATGAAAAACTGCTGCTGACCTTCTACCGCTGCACCATAGAGAGCATCTTAACTTACTGCACCTGTGTATGGTTTGCCAATTGCACAGTGGCAGATGGGAAAGCATGGTACAGAATAATAAAAACAAAGACAAATAGGCTGAAAAACGGCTTCTATCCCAGGGCAGTATTGGTGCGGTGTTGGGGGGTTTCGTTCAATGTATAGAGGGTGAAGGATGTGTGTTTGTGTTTATTTCCATGGTCATGGTCATGATGTGCACTGAAGATAGTGTTTGATTTTGTTGTACGAGGTGCAATGACAATAAACTAAACTAGCTAACAAACTGTTACAATTTTTATCTTTTTGGTAATGCTTATATAAACTAGAATTATTAGAATTTTCCCCTTTTATAATATATATGGGGTAGTCCTTGACTTAGAACCACAATTGGGTCCAAAATTTCTGTCGCTAAGTGAGACATTTGTGAATATTGCCCCATTTTATGACCTTTCTTGCCACAGTTGTTGAATGAATCACTGCAGCTGTTAAATTAGTAACATAGTTAAGTGAATTTGACTTCCCCCTTGTCTTTGCTTGTCAGAAGGTCACAAAAGGTAATCAATCACATGACCCCAAAACACTGCAACCATCATAAATTTGATTCATTTTCCAAGTGTCTGAATGTTAATGATGCAACGGTCGTAAATGTGAAAAATGGTTATAAGTCACAAAGGTACTGAAAAGTACCTTTGTAACTTTGAACAGTCACTTAATGAACTGTTGTAAATCAGGGATTACTTGTATATGGACTGAGGTATCACCAATATGATGATGATACTCAGCTGTATGTCTCGGTCCCTGGTGAGTTAAGTGTTGCTGTGTCCTCCCTCTCGCAGTGCCTGGAGGCTGTTAGGGGCTGGATGGGGAGCAACAGGTTGAAATTAAATCCTTGCAAGACTGTGTGGCTCTGGGTTTGAGGTTCGTTGGCTCAGGGAGAATTACCTCCTTTAGTCTTGGATGGGGTGGTACTATCCAAACAGACCCTGTACGTAATCTAGGGGTTTTCCTGGACCCATGACTCCTTTTCAACGAGCATGTGGCAGTCAGGCCAGGAGGGCCTTTGCACAACTGCGGGTTGTGCACCAGTTACGCCCTCTCCTAGATCAGCAGTCCCTCATGCCCAGTCACTTCCCGTCTTGATTACTGCAATGCCCTCTACTTGGGGCTGCCTTTGAAGAGCATCCAGAAGCTCCAGTTGGTGCAAAATGCAGTGGCCCACATGGTTTTGTGCAGACCCCGGTATGCATATGTGTCACCGCTCCTGCAGTAGCTGTATTGGTTGCCGATTTGCTTCCGGGTGCAATTCAAGGTGCTGGTTATCACCTTTAAAGCCCTTCATGGCTTGGGTCTGGGTTATCTGAGGAAACATTTCTTGCCAGTCACATCTACCTGACCAGTGGTGGGATTCAAATTTTTTTACTACCAGTTCTGTGGGTGTGGCTTGGTGGGCGTGGCATTGCTTGGTGTGCATTGCAGGGGAAGGTTACTACAAAATCCCATTCCCACCCCACTAACCTACTTCCCAGCTCCTGTGCAGGGCAACAAAAGAAGACCCAGCCTATCAGCTGGGACTTGGGAGGCAGAGAATAGATGGGGGTAGGACCAGTCAGAGATGGTATTGACCGGTTCTCCAAACTACTCAAAATTTCCATTATTGGTTCTCTGAACTACTCAAAATTTCTGCTACCAGTTCTCCAGAATGTATCTCCCTGCTGAATACCACCTCTGTACCTGACTCCCTACACCTGCTGAATACCACCTCTGTACCTGACCCATTAGAGCAAGGAGGCAGGAAATGTTGCAAGTCTCACCCCTGAGGGAGATACATCTGGTGGGACTGAGAAGAAGGGCCTTCTCCGTGGTGGTTCCCTCTCTCTGGAATATCATTCCCCCCGAGATTAGAATGGCCCCCACTCTAGCACTCTTCCAAAAGGCACTGAAGACCTGGTTTTGCCAGCAGGCCTGGGCAACCCAGAGCAGGATGGAGACCATCAAATGGCAAGTATGATCTGCTGTTGTCGGGGTGGTTTTTGTTTTTTTTGTTTTGTTTTTTGTTTTTTCCCCAAATTTTGTTCTATTGTATTTTACTAATTTATTTGATTCTTTTTGTTAGTTTTTATTGTTTTTGTTATTTTTTGTTTTAAATTTGGTTTACATTTTATAAGACGTCTTGAGTTGCCATGGGCGAATAGGTGGCAATATAAATTAAATAAATAAATATACAAATGCTTATTTTGCTTATTTGAAAATTTAAGACAATTTTTCAATTTGATTATTTATAACTCAAGCAGCAGAATGCCATAATGGTTAAACTAATACTTTTAAAAATTTTATGCTTTATACATAATCGGTAAAATAGCTTCAAGGCCACTCTCAGCCATGAAAGCCCATTACCCAATATAACTCACAGGATTGTTGTTGTGGGGAAAATTGTGGCAGGGTGCTATATGTGTCCATGAATTCCTGAATATAAAGCTAATAAATAATTAGAAATAATGAATATATCTGCCCACTTTCAGATATGTAATCAAAAACTTTTCAATTGCTCTCCAAAGTTTTTAAGATCAAGATTTTTAAGATTTCCCATTATCAAATACATGCTTGAAGATTTGACATCATGAGACACACTCTCAAACACAGAATTAAAGCAATACTAACAACAATCGTTGGTCTACTGGATCGCTTTGGTCGATGATTAAGTAATATATCAACAGCTCCCACAACTTCTGAGTCAATGGCCACCAATAATGCATCTGTAGACTGAAGAAAATTAAAGCACAAATAATAGCAAATTTTATACCATAGAAGAAAATATATATTGTTAAATTACAAAATGACAATGTTTTAAGGTAGGCAAAAAGAATAGAAATTTCAAATTTATACTGATGTTATTAATAGTACCTGGCAGCCATAATCCAACAGAAGCTGTAGAATGTCTAGATTCTCATTTTCAATACTTATGGTAATAGCATTTCTCCCAAGTACATCCACACAATTTATGTTCATCTCACCAGAACTATTCTCTTCTAAAAGTTTCTTCACCATGTAATAATCACCTAAACCAATAATATACAAAATCCTATTTTAGCAATTTAGATTTTAATGTTTAATGACTTTCTTTAATATTTATTAAATTTGTCAGCAAGTCAGTCATATAAATTTTGATTTAAAAAGCAAGCATTCCCAGAAAACTACCCTCTTTCCCCTTTCAAATATAGCAATAGAGAAGAATGATCAAAAGCTGAAATTAACCAAATAAAATGACACGTTATACTTTGCTTGACAATCTACGGTAATTAACTTTGGGCTTTTCAGCCACGACCCTTCATCAACAAAGCTAACAGACTCACATTCCCATAAAAGGGAAGGGAGGAAAAGATGGGAACTTTTGATGCCTTTTGCTATTGTTCTTGCCCGTTACAAGGAATGTACATCACTCAGTGGGTCAGAATCCAGAGTGCTACCCCTTTTTTTACGGATCACATTTTGCTTGTTCGGACTGAGTTTCTCATCCTAGCTACGCTCACGAATAAGGAGCAGAACGCCGGCCTTTTCCGGCGGTGCCCGCTCGGATGCTGGGCGGATTCCTTGATGAAGGCCCGCTCCTGGTTGATAATGCGGGTCGAACCAAAAGCGTTTCCTTGCGGCAATGAAGGGAAAAGCGAGAGACTGGGGTTTACCTTTGTCGCAAGCCAGCAGGAACAATTTTTCGTCCAGGGTGGTTTCTTCCTTCACCTGCCGGACGTCCTTTAATGCCAGCAGCTTGTTCGGGGAAGCCAAGGTCGATGGGTCTGCACTCTGGTATAGAGCAGCCATAGCGCCGGCCTCGCAGTAAACGGAGGCTCATCGGAGAGGCCGCTCTGGAAAGCCACCTTCTTCTTCCTCCTCCTCCTCCTCCTCCCAGCAATCCCGCTGGGATACCCGCGAACGAGGCGCGCCTCACGTGCCACCCGAAGAGAGAGCGAATGACGCGCAGCTGTCAAACGGGAGCTCGAGCGACCAAGAGCTCCGCGCGCGCACGCGCAAAAGGCTTGTCTTCCTTCTTTTCTGATTTCTTCCGCAGTCGGAGACAGTCAACGGTCCCCCCGTTTCGTTGGAGACGCCAGCGGGAAATCTCTATGCCGTTCTTTGTCCCGGCGGCAAAGAGGAGAGCAACGCAGGGACTGTGTCAGTCGTTTGTGGTTCAATGCACAATAGAGTAATCAAATTGTAAGGGGAGGAAATATAACCTTGAACCTGAAAGCTATTTTCAGTGAGCTTAGAATATCCTCTGGGACCCGCGCCCATACTCCCCGGCCAGGGCTCATCAAACCTTCATCTCTTTATTGTTACCACAGTGTATGTGACTTTCAGCAGAGCATTCATGCGAGATTGGATATAGTGGAATTTATTTTTTCTGTCAATCTGATGGACCACAGAAATATGGCAAGCAAAAAAGTAAAAATTGATAAAGATTCTAACTAAGCTGTCCTGGCAAATCTGGACATAGATTTGGTAAACAGATCAGTAAATGTCAATCTACATTCCAATATCAAAGAAAAGGAGACTTAACAGCATACGAACGAACTATCATTCAATATTCTTCATTTCTTAGATCATCCAATGCAGATTAAAGCCTTGCATGATAAAAAGAGATGACAGATGTTCAAGCTGGCTTTAGAAAAGTAAGAGGAATGTGAGACATCATTGCTGGTGCACACTAGATAATTGAGAAAAGCAAACCAAAAAGTCAATATATGCTTAATTGATATTGAAAGGCCTTCAACTATATTAGTCATGTCAAGTTTAAAAAACTGGTAATTCTAGAACATTTGTCAGGGAAACCTATTCATGTCAGAAAAGAACAATATAGACAGAATATGGCAAAATGGACTGCCTCCAGATTGGCCAAGGCAAAACTGTATATTCTCCCCTTATTTATTCAGTTTGTATGCTTAATGGGCATTACAAGGAAGTTGGACAGATGAGCATTGTTGTAAAACTGGAGGGAGAAACATCCCTGACTTGCACTATGAGCATGACGCTATTTTGATAAATGACAATGAAAGGATCTGCAAGCTCTAATAATGAAATTCAAGGAGTGTGAGCTCTACTGATTTCTCTTCTAAGCAAGGTGTGGCAAGAACAAGAGAGAATGGTTTGAGAAGAAGAAAAAAGCCAACCAGTATCTTGAGGGTGAGTGCTATACACCCTATTAAAATGCCAGGTTTTTGAGATGTAAAAAATATCTAACCACTAGTTAGAATGCAGTATTGCAGGCAAACTTTGCCCATATAGTCAGGAGTTCAATCCTGACCAAATCAAGGTTGACTCAGCCTTCTAACCTTCTGAGGTAGGTTAAATGAGGAGCCAGATTGTTGGGGGCAATATGTTGATTCTAAACTGCCCAGAGAATGTTGTAAAGCATTATGGTGTTGTATAAGTCTAAATGCTATTGCTATTGATAAAAATCAGACCAAGATAAATCATTTCAGATTTTTTTCCATCTCTAACATATAAGCTGTAAATTCAATTGAAAAATGAACTGAAATCTTTTGGAATGAAATAATAAAAATGTACAATAACATGGCTGCATAAGTGTGCACACCCTTGAACTAATGTTTTGTTGTTTTTTCCTTCTTGTTGTTTCCTTCTTGCTTGTTTACATCACTCCCAATCCAACAGGTAATTTTTTCTTTTCCACAATGCCATCCTGGACTTCAAATCTTTCATTAATTGGTTTGAACGTTGGTTAGAATAAATAGAAAAATTTTGCCTAAAAGGCCTTGTTTTAAATTGGCGTTTCCCTACTCTTCTGCTTCTTTCGTTAATTTGTAACCACTATTTCTGCTCCTTCTGTACCAGGCTTTTGTGCAAGATTTTTGGCCATTCATAAAGAAATAGTTACTAGTAGAAAGCAGGAAAAGGGGACAATTGTGTTAGAAAAATTAAAAATAATAAAGCTGCAAATTCTCCACCTCTCCACAATTTTTTTCTTTGCCTCCCGTTTCTGCCACACACACATCTTTCTTGTTGCAAAATATTTCCCCATTTCCCTTAACCTACCCTATTTGCATATGTAAACTAGATCAGCCCCATGATCATATATAACTCAAACATGGCTATGTTTCTGCTTCCAATAACCTTTTAATCGTATCATCTAGGAATCCACAGATATTCCATCTCAATAGAGCCTAGAAGCTTGTCTCAATATTCTATCTTGTTAACAATGGAAGGCTTAGCAGCTTTGCTTTACAATAGAAAATACATTTTTCTTTGTTTAAACCAAGGGTCTTCAAACTTGGCAAGTTTAAAACTTGTGGATTCCAACTCTCAGAAATCCTGAGCTAACATGTCTGGAGGAGGAATTCTGGGAATTGAAGTCCACAAGTCTTAAAGCTGTCAAGTTTGAAGACCCCTGGTTTAAACTTTTGTCGCATTTACTCAAAATGTGTCAGCAACTCACCTCATTTAGATTTTTTTGCCCTTCAATCCCAAAATGTATAAACATCTTTGTATTATTCAAGTTCCCCATTTCTTGCAAAACAGGCACCCAGTGATCATTGAATAAAGTTTAGCCATTTCTCTCCCTCTCTGTGCTCCTTTCTTTGGTAGAAATTCCAAAATTACATTTAAGAAGATTAGCTTCTTTGGGGAAAGTCTTCAAGATCCAAAGCTGAGAAATACTGGTGAATGGACCTAGAGAAGGGCCTCATTAGGCACACATAGGAGAGGGTGTTCTTCCAGATCACCAGATTCCAGATCACAGAGCTTTCTAAAACCAGCACTGTAAATTAGGTCCAGATATAAACCAGCAGCATATGTTTATATTGGCCAGTGTGATATAAGTGTGTTCCTCCAGGTTTAGAACAACTTGCAGATACTAGTGCAGATGATTTTCACTCTGTGAATTAGGTTGGCAACTAGCTTTTCTCAATGGAAGTTTTGAATTTTGATCCTTATGGTGGGGGTATATGTGACCTTATATAGCTTTAGATTTTATAATAGCTATTGGCGAGTAATAGGCATATAAACCCTTCAAACATTTTCCTCTAGTATGAAGGATACCTACACTTGAAGAATCCTAATAAAGATAAAACTGGTTGCAGTACCTCCTACTGCTTAATACAAGTTGACCTCAATTTATGACCAGGTGATAAACAACTGTCTGAAATTATAAGAGAATGATGTTTTACAGTTGATAAAGCCATTGTAAGATGTTTGGCCACCATACCCATGTTCACGTTGTAGTTTGGGTGCTTGACAATTGGCTTGCATTTATGACTTGTACAAAAATAGACTTGCTATTTCTTTTATTGATTTTTAATTTAGTGTTCTATTAAAAATTGTATTTCTATTCACTCACACACAAACACAAACACTGCAAGTAATACACTATAAATACCATTTATTTGTTGCTATCATTAAATATGTTTTAATTAGTTTTATTCTACAGGCAAACCCTAACAGTTTGATTTTTATATTTTTTTGTAATTTTTTATAAAATGTCCGGTTGTTATACAGATGATACATTTCTACAGAAAAATCTCCGAAATGGAATTTGTAAGTTCAACAGCACAAGTAATACATTTTAACTATCAGTGTAACAAATTAAAAAAAAACATTTTAATTCCCAATATTTAATTAGTTGATTAGTAGTACAATCCTGCATCTAATGTATAATGGGTATCCTAATAGTAATGGAGGCATATAAGCACAGCTATGAAAATACACCAAAATTCCTTTTCTATATCAAAATATCTTCACTTTGTCACATCTCTGATTGCTTCATAAAAATAGCTAACATACTGTCATACTCTCTATAATTTCTTTTTCAGAGAAATTGAAATATAAAACAGTGTACAATTTAATTAACAAAAGCTACTACTCTGGAGCCATTATAAATGTCTCATTTCATGACCATGCTAATGGAATTTGAGATTGAAACAGAGTATTTTTTCTCTGTCCGGTGCAAATTTTACTGATTCTACCCACACCAACCTCATCAGTGCTTAAGATTTATTTACAGTTTGTACCATCTCTCCATGAAGTAGTTTTCCAACAAGCAGTCTAAAGAATAGATAATCACATAATGATTAACTATAATTTACATCAGCAAGCTAAAAAGCAGTTAAAAAAACTGCTTTGGTAAGGGAGCATTTTTTTTCAATCATAGTTGAAATACAAGATTTATTACAGCTTTAATTGTCTGTGGAGTATTTGGTGCCATTTGATTATTTGCTTGTAGACAAACTTTCTTTACCTGACTATGTAACATCAGCAATGGAAGTGAGTGTGAACTTTGTTCCCTGTTTTATATAGTAGCTTGCTTTGCCATTAGTTGGTGTGGTTTTCTTTTAGGAAGTTCCTTGATTAGGGTATTGTTTTCTGCTTCATTGTTTATATGGTGTTAATCCCGGTTTATCTTGATATCAGCTGCTGGAAGGATGTTTTCTGATCTTTTTGTTTCCTTAGCTTTTTATTCTCTCTTTTCAATGGTGTATAAATATGATTTCTCTGTGATAGCTGATTTGTCTGACTACCAAGCTCACAGCAATTTTCTAGTGTTTTTGAATTTAGTTTTGTCTAGGTTACCCCACTTCTAAGTTGCAACTATAGCTGAGTCTGTCCATGTATTGTGAAGTTAAGGAGTTTCATTGTGTCTTCTAATTGCTAGGTTGGTGTTTATAAGATCTGCTCTCTCTCTCTCTTACATCGTGGTTGTTATTGTCCTTATACTACGTGTTGTAGACGCCTGTTTTTTTGGTTTACTTTAGATGCTTTGGAGGGGTTTAGTTGGTTTGCATGCTGTGTGATGATCCTATGTGATTGTTACAGAGTAACGTTTTTCAACCTTGGCAGTTTGAATATGGGTGGCCTTCAATTCCCTGAATTCCCTGGAAAAAACTGGGAATTGAAGTCCACATATCTTGTGGACATATCAAGTTAGCAAGGTTGAGAAGTACTATTATAGTGTATTATAGAGTATTAGTTTTTTCTGAGTTATTTTTGATGTGTGTAGAGTTATTTTCATAGCTTATATGTTCCTTTTCCTGATATTTTGATTGCTGCAGTATTTGTACTCTTCTTACACAGCAACTAGTGTGGGAGATTAGGTTATTATTTTGGTAATGGAGCACTTGGTTAGTGTGGATTGTTTTTGATAGATTTGGGTTTCTAATTTGTTATTATTACCTCTGCTGATAAGGATATCCAGGAACTACCAAGGAGAAAACACTTGGCAGGATATATACTGACGCTGTACACAAATAGTGAGCAAAGTCCACACTTAATAGTGCTAATGATGTTACCTAGTCAGTTAATGAAACATCTACAAAGAGCTACATATATTCTCTTTTATTGAAAACATTGACTATTTTATAACCATAGCAAGAGAAGTTTGTTAGCAACAACTGAAATTTATCTCATCAATCAAAAGTTTTGACTTCATAGTATTTCCTAAAATAGCACTTTACACTCTTGGGAATCTTTGCACTGAGAAAAATCATATACAGGTTAAAAAAGCTGCTGAGCATAGTAATGTTAATTACAATTATTGCATCATGTTAACAGAGTTAGCTCACATACTGATGTAATACACATTTCAAGTGATAACTAAAAAAGAAATCATTTTAAATAATCTATCTTTACTTTTCCACATTTATATATATAAACTATCTGCTTTACATTAGTCTGTAAACAATGAGGCATTCAATGCGTTTATCATGGCAGAAAAAGAAAAGAAACCGTTCTTTATTTTATTTTGTTTAATCCTCTTCCCATTAAACATGCAAATACTGTCATGACCATTTTTGGCTTCACTTCTACCAAGTCATCTGGTAAGGCATATATACAAGCACCAATTTTCCGAGCGATCGAAATAGCATACCTTGGTAAGAAAAGGGGGAAAAATATTTGTTTAGCATTATTTGCATTGGAAGTGTACCCAATGATGATTCCTTAGTAACTTCTGTCTTTGCTAATGAGACAATAATTTCTCTTCACTCTTTTCTCCAGTCACAATCTCTTGCAATCCTACATGATATATCCCATTCCAAATAGTTCCCCAACTCTCAGGACTAACTTTTCAAAAGAGCTATGAACAATATAGCTGCCATATATTCTTTCCACCAAACTACAAATAATTTACCGTCATAAATATGCGTTGTTTTAAACCTACTTCTTAGAAAGCTAGAAAAAAGTGGAATAGATAGCACCACCACTAGATGGACTTGCAACTGGCTGGCAAACCATACTCAATGAGTAGTCCTTAATGGGTCTAAGTCTACATGGAGGGAAGTAAGCAGTGGGGTGCCACAAGAATCTGTCTAAGGCCCAGTACTCTTCAATATCTTCATTAACAACTTAGATGAGGGAATAGAAGGGAACTTACCAAATTTGCAGATGATACTAAGCTGGCAGGAATAGCTAACACCCAAGAAGATAGGCTCAAGATCCAGATGGATCTTGACAGACTAGAATACTGGGCTGTATCTAACAAAATGAAATTCAATGTAGAGAAAAGTAAAGTCCTACACCTAGGCAAGAAAAACCAAAAGTACACACACAGACTGTGTGAAACTAGGCTCAATAGCAGTAACTGTGAGAGAGATCTTGGAGTCTTAGTGGACAACCAGCTAAATATGAGCCAGCAGTATGCAGCAGCAGCCAAAAAAACTAATGCAATCCTAATGCATTAACAGAGGGATACAATTGAGATCAAGTGAGGTACTAATACCACTCTATAAAGCCTTAGTAAGACCACATCTAGAGTACTGCATCCAGTTTTGTTCACCACATTATAAAAAAGATGTTGAGACTCTAGAAAAAGTACAGAGAAGAGCCACCAGGATGATTAGGGGACTGGAGACTAAAACATATGAAGAACTGTTACAGGAACTGGGCATGGCTAGTCTAATGAAGAGAAGGACCAGGGGAGACATGATAACAGTCTTCCAATATTTGAGGGGCTGCCACAGAGAGGAAGGGGTCAAGCTATTTTTCTAAAGCGCCTGTAGGCCAGACAAGGAACAACGGATGGAAACTGAACAAGGAGAGATTTAATCTGGAAATAAGGAGAAACTTTCTGACAGTGAAAACAATCAACCAATGGAACAGCTTGCCCTCGGAAGTTGTGGGAGCGCCATCAGTTGAGACTTTCAAGAAGAGATTGGACTGCCATGTGTCAGAAATGGTGTAGGGTCTCCCACTTGGGCGGGGGATTGGACTAGATGACCTATAAGGTCCCTTCCAACTCTGATTATCTGTTATCTGAATTCCAGTTAGTTCTTTTTGTCTGACTTCTTGTAACAGAGATTTTAACTGTTTTAATAAGATTTAAAATGCCTTTTTTATTATTTAGTTGCCTTGAATGCTATTGGTAGAAATATGGGATATAAACCATATAGTTAAATAATATAGTAAAACCCAAACCAATTCAGAATAAAGTAGAAAAATGTGGGGGATATACACTGATTCCTAACATTTAAAAAATATTAACAAAATGAACACTTTGTTGTTTTATAAAGGATGGTAAGACCATACTGATTTCTCACAACAAGGAATATCAAAGAATTTTCATTGAAATTGCCTTTGAAAATAGCCTGGGAATTTGTTATACAAAATGACAGTAAAAGGTACCAGACCCTACAATCCACTCTTCAGCTTATATAAATGCTGAAAATATATTTGAGAAAGAAGGCTGTGTAGATATTCGGTTGTCGTTTAGACAGCTTTCAAGGATAGCATAAGGGAGATAATAGTAAGGGTTGTATATTCCAATAAGAGCTATAGCTCAGGTATTGGTTCAAGGGATTTGAAAAACTTCCTATCAGGCCATTATAATTCAGAAGTGTTCCCAATTACAGACATAGTATTTTAGAAAGAGTACAACCACATTCATAAAATATATTTCCAAAACTATCTACCTAGTAACAACTTTATGAATTCAGTGTTATTTGGATTGAGTGTACATTTAACCATCATGGTATAAATTATTTTAGATTCTAGACATTAATTCAGGAAAGCAATTTTGTTTTTTCAATTGAATTTCTGAAAAAGGGAAATTAGAGCTTGATGTGATTAATATACTAACCATAAGTAATACACCTAGGTTACCTCAATTTTTATTTTTTAACTTTTTATATTTTAAATTTTATGTCATATAGTATGCCTTAGTTTAATTGTGATGCTTCTGACACAAATAAACTCAATTAGCACATATTGTAGATTAAGGCTATAAATGCTTCAAATGATTTTTAAAAAGTTTCAGTCCTCTTATGAAGAATGCTAAAGGATGCATATTTATTTTTCAGGCTTCCACATAAATCTGCAAAAATATATTACTGTTTTGGTGGACTGAGATCAGTGTAGATCTCAGTCTACACTAAATGTGACTCATTACAGATAGATTAGATTAGAATATCTTTGATGTGACTCATTACAATTATAAGGATTCAAACATGGATGAGATTAATTTTAAATCTACCCATTAAATATTATTTATGACAAAATCTAATGTCATTCTACATGTAGTCCATTGAATGGGATTCTATTCTTTGTAGAAGTAAAGAATATTGCATCATTATGTCTAATGCAAATATTTTTCCAGTGAGGACTATTCATTGAAGAAGTAGGATGTTATATATTTCCCAGATTTAATGTACATAGGAAATATTCTCAGCCTTGGATTTAATTTGTTTGTGGAGCCTCTGTTGTACTTTAGTTTGACAGATCTGTTTTTTGACTGGGACATATTGTATTGTTGTCATGTTTTTAACTGTTTTATTAATATAATTTGTTAACATGTTTTAACACATTTTATTATGTTGTAAGCAGCCTATATCCTTTTAGAGTGGGCAAGCATAATAAATTTAATTACTATCACTATTATGACATCAATAATCATAACAGTTGGAAGATTTAGAATGATTTGTATATTCCTCCCATTTGAAACTTAAGAAAGGCAGCTTTAATCCACACTAAAACATTACTCTTTAAAATGCCGTACTTCTATAAACTATGGCAATTTAAAGGATTGTTTGTTGTTTTCATTCCACAGGATAGTCTTCTGAAATATGCTGCAAGGACTTACTTAGCATTATTTAGCTTGTCTGCTGGTGTTAGATCTTCTCTCTTGACCATTTCCGGGCGGACTGCTTTTGGTGCAATAGCATCTATTAAATCTAATATTGGCAAACTAGTGCTTATAGATTGGTCCTGAAACAAAACACATTAAAGTATTGTTAGTTATCAATAATGAATTATTTTCAGTCATCATACCTTTAATTTGGCTTGTCATATACTTTTATCCAGTAATTGTCCATGATAGATCAAACAAAAGGTCCTCAACATGTTTTATTGGACCTCAAAGATTTTGTTCCCTTTTGAGTGTAATCTTATAGGTTTTGTCCTAATCACAAAAGCAACTTGTAATTAACCTACCATGTACCATTTTATAGAAATCTATTTTTAAACAATGGCAATGTACACACTTCAGTTTCTGTTGGCTATGCTGCATTCATGAAACATATAAAAACATGAAAGTGTTATTGAAGTCAGTCCACAATATCTGTGGAGATCTACAAGTAGTGGTTCTGCTACTCAGAATGCAATTTGGTTAAACCAAGTATATCCATGTTATAGGATCTTTTGCTGGAATGGGGGATTGGATTAGAAGACCTCCAATATCCTTCCAACCTTAGAATAACATATGTTCTAAGTACTGTTATTACATATGCAAATAGGAAGATATTAGTATTACATAAAAAAGGCTGCCCCATTACTATTTTCTTTTACATGCTTATAAATGTGCATAGTACTCTGCTTCTTTCTCCAATCTATGGTTTTGAGATGGTCCCTGGGTCCCATCTTGTTCTTGGGATTCTAAGATGTACTTTTTCTGTCTTAAAATAGCAAGTGGTACTGCTATACTCAGTATCCTTTTAACAGCTCAAGAGGATGAGCATTCTTATCCATGACATCAAGTTATCAGCAGGAGGTGCCCTAGAATTATTAATTAGGTCTGTGCTTTAAGAGTTTCACCATGCTTTTCTTACACAGGAGATTAAAGCTATGGTTTCAAGATTGGCTCATCCTTTTTAAGTTCTACCGTGAACACTGTTATCTGAAAGCAACATTCTACTATTCCCTTTCAGCTGCTAAGTTGATGTTTCTTAATGCACTGATTGGATAGATAATTTTAGTTCTAATTGTAGATCCTATTAGCCTGTTGTAACTTTGCTGTCCCCATTTTTCTTAAGTGTATTCCTTGTACTCCATTGTTAAAATAAAAACTGGCAAAGTTTCAGAAACTAGATTTCAGAAAAACATTTTAGCTAACTGGTCATAAAGCTACTTTTTACAGTATTTCTGATGTTGCCGTGATCAGTATGCACTTTAGAATACCGTGATCAGTATGCACTATAGAATACTTGTTTAAGGCTGATTGAAGGTGTAGAAAAATTTAATGTGTGGATGGAAATAAAAATTAAACTGAAGTAACATTTCTTCAGTTACATGAGAAAAGAGAATATTGTTGAAAATATAGAAAACTCAAAGATCTGTAAAACATTTGGTTGGTAAATAAAGGTTTACAGATATTTTTACAAAGTCGTTGATCTCAAAAAAATATGATGATCAAAATGTGTTTCTCTGAAGAACACTTTTGTGTACTTTTAATACTTTTATGATGAATAAACTGCCTCTATACTGTATTTGAGTATGATACAACAATTGCAACATAGGTACAAATTTTCATTCTTTGATAGAAGGTTCTTCCTGTTTTTAATCATTATGTATAATCCTGCTTTCTTCAAATTATTTTTTATCTAGTTCTCAGAAAAATAGATACAATTATGTTCCATGACAAAGATAGTAATATATATGCCCATATTGTTATCCAAAATCTAATGTTTTTACATTTTTAAAATATAATATTTTAAGCATTTTTATGAAGTGTTGAATTTCTGCTATAAATTGATTCCCACCCAGATTTTCTCTATGTAATTAATATAATATTCCATTTATTTGAAAGTTTATTACCTTGAAGCTAGATATTGAAGTTGTCTTATTTGCGTTTGCAAGAGTTTGATTCACCCATTTAATGATAGTTTCATCATTTACTTTCCCCGCTTCTCCAAGGTCTGATAGTACATTCAAAGTATATCTGCAATAGACAGTATATGTAACTGGTAAGGAACACTAAAGTTACCCTGAATTTTCCAGTATTATTTTTAGATATTCAACAAAATATACATGAGGTGCGACTGTATTGAGAGAACAAAATAAAATGAAATGACAAATATAAAAACAGACCACACCGTATTGTACAGAAATTCATCACAAATTTTAGTACAGGAATTTAGACTGTATTTTTTAACCAAAAGAGTGGGCCTATTTTGATAATTATAGTCAATATCATTAACTATATCACTCCAATTACTACCACTCTTTAAACACATTTCCTGACTAAAACATGGTTCTCAGAAATTAGTGATGAGAATGGAATGGAATGGAATAGGATAGGATAGGATAGGATAGGATAGGATAGGATAGGATAGAATAGAATAGAATAGAATAGAATAGAATAGAATAGAATAAACTTTATTGTCACTTTGAATGTATATTGATCGGCATACATTAAAATGAAATCTCATTGCATACAGTTCTCAAAAGGTCCTCCAATATACACTACATAACCATGGCAGAATGAATTAATGAATGAATGCAAAATTATGCATGTAGCCACATGTATTATATGACACAGAGAAATAACATGGTCTAGTCCGGATGTATACATGTACATGGTGAGAAAAAACAATGGGGAAACAATGAAGAAATCTAACTGATAGCGGAGCTGAAGCCAGACGGGATGAGTGCTAGTTAGACTGGTGACAACATGATCACTAGAAGTGTGTTGTCAAAGTTAAAAGTACTTAGTTGTAGCCACCTGCTAGTTAAGATCTTTGGAGGCTGAATGAACTGACAGGAGGGATAGGCCACGACCAGACTTTGGTTTGCTACCTGGAGAGAAGAAGGTTCAAGGAAGAGCTGAAATGAGTTTGACACAGACAGCCAGAGTCAGAATTATAGTGAGAAGTGTGGAAAGACTGGAATAAAATATTGTGTTGGGAACTGAGTGGAAGGATTGCAGGAGCAGAAGGAAGTATGCAGAAAGATGGACATCAAAGTCTCGTGGTGTAAGTGGGACTGGAAATTCACTGTTACCCTATGATGCACCATTTTGCCCAATTGAAGGTTACAAACAATGGAACCTACATGAGAGTTTTAACAGTACATACAGTATGTATGGCATTCTAGGTTGCAACAGTTTTTACAGGCTTATAAGTCCTTTATAACATGGCAGACCTACACAGCAGTATACAGCAGATTTTTAAAAATTCAAGTTATCTGGGTTTTAAACTGCTGGTTGAATAAGTTAAGAACTTTTATGGAAAAAGTTTGAACCAATTTTGTCTAACGGTTAAGGGCTTAAAAACCAGGAGACGAGAATTCCAGTCCTGCCTTATATATGAAAACCTTCTCGTGGACTTCAAGCCAGTCATGCTTTCTCAGCTCAATCTACCTCAGAAAAGGGTTTTTTTTTTGTGGGAAAAAAACTTTGAATTATTTATAAATATAATAAAGGCCAGATATAAACACATTCTACAATATTTAATACCATTGGATGTAGTGAGATGTAAGAAAGCCTCACCTTCTCATTAATTGCCAAACTAGTGCCAAAGTCAAAGTTGGGTTGCCTTCGTTGAGATCTTTTCCACCAATTCCAACCAATGAAAATCTGGCATTTGTCTTTCCCAGTTCTACTGCATAGTTACAATTTTCAATCTAAAATGATTTGATTATAGATATAAATCACAGTTATTATCTAGAGTTTTAAAAAGTATTTTGATCTGAAACTTTTGGAAGGAAAAAAAATACCTCATAGAATGCACACTTTTACTTTCTTTAATGTATTCAGTTAGAAAACTTTTTGAGCAAGGTATCATTTGGATTTGCCAAACGTATTATAGGAAGTCCCATAGTATTTAGTTTCTAATTAATTCTTTAGATTAAAATGCTGTATTTTGTTATGCAATTGTGCACTCACATTTGTTGTGTCCCAAAAATCCAAATGATTTAAGTTTATATTAGAGGCGTATTTTTGCTGTGGAATGCATAAAAATGTACTTTCCAGAGGTATTCTATTAAAAATATTAAATTTGGCATATGTTATTAAGATGTTCAAAACTGGCTATTAATATGTACGATTGGCAACTGCTCTTTAGCTTTCCTATAAGGTTTTTAAATGATTATGAAATAGTGGGAAAGTTGCTAGAGCTCTGGTTTGTCTGTAGCTTTTTAACATATATTTGTACTATGATATGCTAATGCAGTAAAGAAAGTTCTAGCATTGTATGTGAACAATATAATTGTTATTGATCAAAGAGTAATTTAAGTTTCTGCTCTTTTTAAATCTTTTTTATGGCTTTGTAGATTATATCCTGAGATCTTTCATCAGTCAGCCACCTGATGATATATCACTAAACATGTCTCTACTGTACGCTGCTGTTGCTGATATTGACATTATTAGTGGTGGTGGTAGTCTATTGCTTGTATGTCAATACTTGGACATTACCCAAATAGTAACATGGAAGTTACTTCAATGCTTAGTTTCAAAATTCTGTTACAAATTTCTACTTGGCTTTGTGAATCACAAACAGAACCATAAAAATGTAATATAAAAGTTAAATATAAAGATATATTAACTTACATGTATGCTACTATCTCTACAATGTTTCCTTGAAACTGAGATAGATGAATAGAAATTAGTGGTGATTATGAAGGCACCAGAGTTCCTAACTCAGAAATATTTACAAACCTTTTTCATGTTACCCCCAAGTGCAGGATATGGTGGTTTGTTGACATGACTCCATTCTACAGGTACACGAATCATTTCATAGAGTTGAAAGATTACTAAACCATCAGCAAGGTCACTGGCAAAGTGAGGGAGAAAAAAAGGTTATTCTAATTAAAAGCAAAACAATTATCCTTTAATTAATCAGAAAACAGATATTTTTACTGCTTCTATATTTTTTAAATTTCCCATTTAAATTATTTACTAAAATCATTCACAACTCACAATGCTTTTTTAAAGTATTATTATGATTGGTTGCAGTCAGCCAGATGTCTATACTGGATTTGACATTTTAATCTACCTATCAAGTCCTTCCCAGGAATATGAGATAAGTAGATATGGAAGTTTGATGGTGTTAGCAGTATCGTTGCATGATGTAAGCTGTTCCAAGTAAAGCTGCCTTTTGCAATTGACTGACAATAAATTTGTCAATGCTGATGGTGTTCAAGTGGTGCTCCAATTGTTTTTAGATTGTATTTAAGGAACCTGTTACTATGGTACTACCTTTCCTTTCTTTTACTACAGTTGTTCTATTTCTATGTCTTTGTATTTTGTTATTTTCTCCAGTTCTTTTTCTTCTAATCTGTTGTCTTCAAGTATTGCCATGTTCACTATTGAGACTTTGTCTTTCTTATCAACAACTAAGTCTGGGATGTTATGTGGCAGGTGTCTGTCGGTTTGAATTCTAAACTCTCAGAGCACTTTAAATTCTTCATTTTCAGTTTCTCTGTTTTATAGTCCCACCAGTTCTTGCTTGCAGGCAAATGATATTACTTGCAGTTCTTCCAATTATTATTATGTACACAACAATGTGATCTCAGAGCTGCCAGATCTTTAGCTGGTGTTGGCTTTCATACACAGTTCTTCCCAAGAACCTAAGATGTTATAATATATTGAGCATAGTATGGGTGCAGATCCAAGCAGTGTATACTTTGTAATTAATAGATTGAAATTTTGTCAATGAACAGATTTACTAAATGCCATTAAGATTTTTTGGTATAGCACGCAATGTGCCTATAACCAGTGAGACCACTATGGATGATTTATACCATAATCTTTCAACTTTGATTTTCAGATCTTGATACTTTGTGTAATCTGGTGTGCTAATTTATTAGTTTGTATTCAACAATCCCACAATATACTGTAACGATAACACATATTGTAATATTGTTATTTATCACATTTATACAGCAGCTCATCTCACACAGGGTGACTTTGGGTGACGTACTGTGAAACAAACAAATACACCTTATTTTAAAACCACTTAAACACCTAAATAATTAAGCATAAAGAACAAGATTCCAAGAAGGTTAAATTCAAAATGTTATACATGTTGCAACCAATGTGTGGGCTCCCTGTTGCCAAAAGATCACTTGTTAGCCTCACAGATTGACAGTACTCCCAGAGGGTGGCCCAGATAGGAAATACTAGATGAGTTTATTTTATTTTATTGTAGGGCTACATTAACAGATTCTTGCCAGACTAAAGTACAAATCTTCCCATGGTGTCTTTTCACCTAAAAAGTTGGGCGGATCCTTAATATATTTCACTTCCACTTTTATTTGATTATTCCCAAGGCTGTATCTGTTCTCATTTCCAAAGTCATTCCCTCATACAATTATGTGCCCAGCCCTGATGAAAAAATACATGTTTTGAGAGCTTTCCAGAAGGGCATATGGTTTGGGGCCAATCCCACCTTGGGTTGGATGATGTTCCAAAGGACAGGTAGATACCAGGCAGAAAAGGCACCTTCCTAGATCCCATCAGATGGAAACTCTTAGCTGATGGCATGCTCAACATGTGTTTCCTGTCAGATCAAAAGTCTGATGACTTCTCTTGACACTAGCGGAGATACCTCTCCAGATGTCCGTTTGGAGGAGGAGGAGGAGGAGGAATCAGTTCCAGGCATTCTTGGAAGGGAATTGATCAAGCAGCCATTGGGATTTGGCTGAACCACAGCTGCAGCAGAACAGCCCTGAGGCTTCAGCTGGGGAAAGCACACAGCTACAGCCAATTTGAAGAAAGAACTGCCTTCTGCACTTGATCAGAGAATACATATGGCAGAGAAAAGGCAGGAGCAACAAAGGTCAGCCCAATTACTCTTGAGGAGGCAGCCTTGCCTTTCTTGATGGATTGTACCAGAAGCTGACTATTTAGCAGATAGCAGACAGATGATGCTGATGCTGTGAACAATGTGTTCATTTCGTATCTGTGTGTTTCCTGGTCATTGTATTTTTGCCTTGCTTTAGATTGACACCTGCCTTCACTTTGATTTAATTTTGCCTGGTGGGTTTATCTTGTTTGGGAAACTTTCAAGTGCCTTGTGGACTCATTGGCCATTGATCTGTGGACTAACATCTGTCTGCTTTTGGCTGGATTCAATTGGGACCGATCTGGGGATTTTGTGAAGGGAATTGTTGGGGAATATTAATAAACCCACTAAACAAACCACTGTTATGTGTGAGTGAGCAGGATAGCACATAATGGGATAAACAAATATAACTGAGGAGAGGCAATACCTCAAATAACCCTTCCCAATGCCACATAGGGCTTTAAAGGTCAAAAACAGCATCTTGAATTGCATCTGTAAGTGAACTAATAATCAATGCAACTCATGGAGAAGATGTGTGTTGTATGTTCTTCTAAAGGCACACATAACAGAATAACCGAGTTGGTCTTCTAGTCCAATCCCCTGTTCAAGCAGGAAACCTATACCATTTTAGACAATGTTTCTTTTGTCTGAAATGGTAACTTTCTCATGCCACTGCATTTTGCACCAGCTGAAGCTTTTGAGTATTCTTCAAGGACAGCGTCATGTACAGCATATTAAAGTAGTTCATTTGGGAGATGAGCAGAACCTCATGGTCCCAGAACATGTACAACTGGTACACAACACAAAACTGTGCAAAGGCCCCCCTAGCCTGCATTACTCCTCGAGCAAAAGTCATGAAAACAGAAGGAACTCCAGATTGCACACTGGGTCTTTCTGGACTTATGCCACCCCAGATGGTAAAATACCAGATCTTGAAGACCCAAAACAATTTGGTTTTTTTGTTTCCCATTCAGTCTCACAGCCTCCAGGCACCAGAGCAAGACATCAACAGCACTGCTTAATTTGCCAGAGTCAGAGATGTATAATCATCTCATGGCAACAAATGATCTCACTCAGCAGTTTCCTGTAGATGTTAAAATAGGAATGGGGAGAGTTCTGAATTCTGCAAGGGTCATGGGTAGGACCTTTCACTGCCAATCAATAGCAACTAATGCTGGCCCATAGGATGGAAGAGGACCAGCCCAATGTTGTGTGACTCCCAATCCTTGGAGCTGATCCCGAAAGGTACTATGATTAAAAGTATCAAAAGATGTTGAGAGGGCAAGAAGAGCCAGGAAGGATGCACTACCTCCATCTGCTCCCATCAGAGATTATCCAAAAGCACAATCAATGCCATTTCTGTGCCCAGAAACATGTCCAGGCCTGGATCCTGACTGAACCTGCCGTGTGACCACTTTAACCATGAGCTTTCCTTAAACAGGGAGGTCTGATCTTGGTTGGAGGTTGTCCTGTATAATGTGATCCAGTGATGGCTTTTTTTAGGAAAGGGCAAATCAACACCTTAAGAAGTGAAGAAAAAAAACCCTTGTCTCAAGGATAAATTTATCCCAGCTAAAACTCATTCACATATCACTCATCCCACACACACCCCGCAGCAACCTTAGCTAATTATGGGTGTGCATGAGTCTCATAAGAAAGTGGTTAAGCTCACAGTCATAAGGATCCTTCCTACTTCGTCAGGCTCAACAGGTTTGAACTGTTTCATATTGGGTTATCACTGATACTTTTAGGGGGAATCCAATGGAATGCAATATAATCATAAGCAGGATTATTATATTATTATTATTACATTCAGAAAATTGTACAGTGTAAATTATACTTACATTGTGTAAGCCACCTCGAGTTGCCATGGGCAAATAGGCGGCAATATTAAATAAATAAATAAATAAATAAACAAATAAATAATACTTGTTCAAGAGGTGGATCAGAAAGAACATGCAATGTGTACTCTCAAATTGCTCCTAGAATTGACAGCTGTAAAAAAACCAACAACTTTGCACTCCAGCAACCAGTTCAACTCTCCAATCGCTTCTAGGGACATATCCAAATCATCGACATACATAAAAATAACACTGCCCAAACTGGCAACAGTTTTGAGCCAGATAGAACAACCTTGCCCTTGGATGCAGGTAGAAAATAAACATTAATTCAAAAAAGCTTAAATGATTCAGCACAGGTATATTAGGAAGAAAATGTGATTGAAGTTGGCATTACTGCATTACCACATATAATTTTATATCAAATCTTGAAACAAAGGGACAATCTAAAACACTTTAAGTGCATTGATATTTTGCGGCATACTTTAAGTGAGCAAGCTTTGCTCAGGGTAAAAACTACATAAGGATTTTATTTTTTTTACCTGTATAAGTGATTAATATAAGGAGTTACACCCAATGAATTCATCCAGTTTCTAAATGTTCTTTCTTCCTTACTTTCACCTACAGTAGAAAAATAATAATTTAATTATACTTTGATTTTTGGTCTGTTTTTTTAAAAAAACTATTGAATCGCAAATAGAAGGAATGGTATCACAAAGCAGGAAAGGGAGAATGCTATCATAAAATGGAAAGATATATAAATGGGTGAAGAATAAACAAATCTAAATTAAATCAAAGCTATAAAAAGGATACTTACTGTGCAAAATATTCAGAGCATAGCAATAGCAAAAACAGTATTTGTGTCCACAACAGTTAGTTCAGTTTCATGGTTATGTACAAGACCATCCATCAAATTATATGTTTGGGGTCTATATGACTCTAGATCTTTTGAGTCAAAGCCCATTTCAGCTACCTACAATACTAGCCAATAGGATTGGTCAAGGGCACAGTTCAGGAAAAAATCTATATTTTCTTTTGCAGCCTTCAGTTAAAATTATTTGACTTTTCTTTACAGTGCACCAGTTCTCATTAAGATCATGTAGTAATAATGGCATCATTATATATATATATATATATATATATATATATATATATATATGAGAAATGTTATCTAATTGCTTATTCACTATCCTTATTATATAAATTGGGACCATAATCCCTTTTGGGATTAATGATTAAGATTTGTTTCAAAAGGTATTTCAATCTCTAATTGAAATATATTTTGAGTACTTCAGAGTGAATTAACATGCTTCCAAGATAATTGATTATAGAAAGAAGGGTTGCTAAAGGGTATATTTGGCAAGCTCACAATAAAAATTAAAACTTCATGCTAAATAATGCAGAAAATAACATGCAAGCTGAAAAAATCAATTCTGACTGAAAGAACTGTGAAAGTAAAAAAATAAAGGTTATATTTAATATGCCACTCTAAAATCAAATTCTTAAACTTCTTAAACCATCACTATAACTCCTTTCATTCTTGTTCAGTGTTTAATAGGTACCTTCTTGAGAATATACATGTTTGCTTTCCTTGGAATAGGTATAAATAATAGATAAACAACACAAACTGGAACATGGTAATAACATGCCTTGTGACACTTTTCTTCTGTAATCACAATGTTGTGCAGCAATACGTAGAGATCAATTATGCTGATTATATTTTACTTTCTCAAAATAGAAAAATGCTGAATGTTTAATTTCAGTTATAAAAATAGGAGTAACTTCAACATTCATTTTGCAAGGAAAATAAACCAAGCCATCCTTAAGCATGGCTGCTATGCATGATAAGATATATTTCTCCATTAGGTTTTATATTCATGCAGCTCTCAGTATTGCTGATTAAAACACAATTTTGTCTATCTTTTACTCTTACTGTATGATTTCTAATATGATTTGAATATTTTCATAATAAAACTAAAATGGATTTTCAGGTAGTCCTCAAATTATAACTGTATGGCCAGTCATGTTTCCAAGTTAAGACAGCACTGAACCAATGATAGTTACAACCAGTCCTTGGAGTTCCAGCCATTCCACCAACCCCATTGTCACATGATGTCAACCTGGGTAATTGGCAACCAGTTCACATTTACAACTGCTTGCCAAGTGTCTTGCAATCATGTCATCATCATTTGCAATCTTTCCTGCTGGCTCCACCAGAAAGTCAAGTTACTGGGTTATGTCACCAACCCGCACATCCTCCCCCAGCCCAACTGTGTTTGTACTGGGCTGGCACCCTTCCAACTTGTTTGACACCTCTTGGGCACCCTTGCAGACCTGAACAGCACCTCTCATGCACTCCCCTCTTACACCCTCCCAGACCCGTGCCAGGCTTCTTGCACATGGTGCCTCCCATGAATCCCTTCACAACCTTGCTCTATCAGTCCTGACAACCTGTGCTCTGCTGGCCCTGCCACTCCCAGTTCATCATCCAGCCTGGCCATTCTTCTCAGCAGCAGCAGGAACAAAATGGTGAAGATCAGCTCAGGATGAGAAGGCCAGTAGATGAAGGGCAGCAGAGTTAGCAGAGTGCTGATGGCCAAAAAGTATAGAGATGGAGGGAGATAGGGAGCTGGGGGGAGTTCAAGAGGAGGCAGTCTTACCCTGAGGCTCAGGGCTGAGAGGTACCAACCTAGCAATGTTTTGGATTGGGATGGGTCCTTATTTAAGGACTGGGTAGGATTTGTTTAATGATGGCAATGGGTACTAAGAGGATCACTGTGGCTAAGCAATACAGTCACATGATATCACACTTTATAATTAAATTGCTTAGTGATGGAAATTCTAATCCAAATTCTGGTTGTTAACTGAGAACTACCTGTAAAAATATAAGAACAGCACGTAATCTCCAGTCTTATCACACAAAATAGGGTTTATCTAATGGAATGGAGCAAATTATATCGCTTAAATTTCTGCCAAGATACAGTAAGGACTGCAGATATATATATCAGCATAGCTATGGGGGAAAGTCCTTGTGTTCTTCAAGAATTATCTAGCAATTGTTTCAATAGGCTGTCCTAAGAGGAATATAGGATGCCATATTTTTCTGTCCTATCTTTGAAATGTTTGCATTCCAGTTCAGAGTGATAACACTACTAGCAACTTCTAACTTTATTATAACTGTTTGTGATAATTACTATATATCTTAAGGACTATGTTTAATTTTTTATGTTTGCCTTGCTTTTTCTCCATAATTTTCTTTTATAAGTCTGAGGCAGGAAACTGTCTTGTTTTTATTTTACTGGAAGCTGTTGGAAAGCTTCTAGCTGATACTTGCCTTGAACAAATAGTTGAATTTTGGGAAGAGAATTTTCACTTTTGACAACTTTATCTTTTCATTCACATGTGTGAGGTTTCATATCATGACTCCCAAGAACTCAATTATGAATTCAAGTAAAGTTAATCTGGCATTTTATATGACTAAAATCAATGTCTATTACTAATATTTTTCCACAGCTGTAATGGCATATTAAAAGAAAAACACTAATATGTAACAAAAGCAGGACAGTTACAAAGATGGCAGTCATAACAGTAATAGAATGAAAGGGAAAACAGATTTCAAAATATTTTACAAGCCAAAAGCCCCCAACAAAATACAGTACCTACAGTAGGAGGAGTCAAATCTGCATTTTATGAGGAAAGATTGGAAAGTTATTAAATGTAATATTATGAGCACTATCCTAATTTCACTATTTGGGTGGGCTTAACTCCTAAAAAAACAATTTAAGATCCAAAATCTAGATGTGATTTGAACTCCTTCCCATCCACAAATCCTATCTCCAGAAACGTGTTTCTTATTCAAAAAAGCAGAGGAACTTCAATTATACAGGTAGTCCTTACCTTATAACCATGATTGAGACCAAAATTTCCATTGCTAAGCAAGAGAATTATTAAGTGAGCTTTGGCCCATTTTACTACCTTTTAGCCATAGTTGTTAAGTGAAACACTGCAGTTAACTTAAAAATGATTGTTAAGTGAATCTCACCTCCCCATTTACTTTGCTTGTCAGTAGGTCACATGAGCTCCAAATACTGAAACTATCATAAATACATCTCAGTTGCCAAGCGTTCACATTTTTATCACATGATCATGGGCATGCTACTGTTGAGGTAATTCCTTGTTAGGAGAATGAGTGCATACAGGGAGACGTATAGAGAGAAGTGTTTGAATAATACACACACAGCACACAGATACACTGTACAGTCAGTGTAGGTTTTTACTTCCAGAAACTTTTAAGCAAAGTTCAAAACAAGCAGTCCAAAGTCATTCACAGGTAAGTCAGTCAGTCCAGGGATAATCCAATAACAAAGTCCAGTGTCATAAACAGTTCAGTATCAGACTTACATCAAATCCAAACATAGCAGTCAATCAGGAAGAATGGCAAAACTCTCCAACAGAAGGAAAAAGAGACTCACTGAAACACATTCTCTTCTGAGACTAAGACTAAACAACTCAGGTTTCTGGCTCCATCTTATGGCCGTTTGAGAAACCACACCCAATTACACTTTTAGGATTCTCTTAAAGAGACAGTATTAAAATGTCTATCCTGGTTTATATATTTCCAACCCAAATACCTGTTAGGTGATTTATATTCCTAATAGCTACAATTGTCAAAAGTGTAAAAAACAGTCATGCCATTTTTTTAGTGCCATTGTAACTTCAAATGGTCACTAAAAATGGTTGTAAGTTGAGGACTACCTGTATTGGGGAAATCTTTTCGATTCTTAACTGCCTTGTGCAATTAGGTTTATAGGCATCTGTGTTCCAATTTTACCCCATAGTTCTGAATTGAAACTAGCATATCTCCCCTTCCCCCCACCCCCCAAATCATGTAAAATTATATGGCTTTAGCATGGTTGGAGAAAATACTATGAACTAAACTTTCAGTGAAATAATAGAATTATTTCTGTTAGAGAAAAACAAGGGACTTGATGTTAGAGAAACTTCCCATAGACAAGATGGAGTTGGTAGTGATTCAGAAGGTGAATTCCAGCATTTGGGAAAAATGCCTGCTCTGAAAAGTGTACATTTTCCATTAAGGATCAGATTTACATTCAGGGAATCCCTTTTAAATCCAGCATTAAATCCTGGACCATTAATAAAATCAAGAGATGATTTTATCAACTTTGGTTGATAAATCATGTCCATAAGTGAAGAAGAAAATCTTTATGGGATGTTTTTGAAGACAGTCTAGAAACTCAGCTGGCTAGAATTTGGCAGCACTTCACTCTACGATTTAAAAAGGAGCTCAAATCATAGTCAAATCTTTTAATCTGGTTTAGCATTTGTTTTAACTAAACTGTTGCTGTTTTAATTGTATTGCTCTAAGATGCCCTAAGCCATTAAAGGAGAGGCAACATGCAAGTACACTATTAAATAAACAAGCAAACAATACCCCCATTAGATTATTTAAATTAAGAAATAATAAACAACCAAATACAAATAGGTCTTTCTCTAATATCTCAATTAGTATATATTGAAGTTACTTACCTTCTAATAAACTGAAATCATAAGAATTGTTTTTAGGCTTCTCCAGGGCAGGGTATGTATTAAAGAGGTTTGCAACAAAGGCTATATTAAGTTTAGGGTTGCCTGTAACCACATCTGTAGGTGTCACAAACTGTTTGCAACCCAATTTATCTGCTTGTTGAAGCATATATTCAGCCCTCCTCAAATCATTTGGTTCCTGGGGAAAATGAATTGCAAATTTAAAATAAAATATATGTATCCATTTTTGCATTAGACATAAAATTCTAGATACAGAAGCAAACCAGAAATTGTTTGGAAAGAAAATCCTGTTTTTGCATGATTCCTGATTGCATTTAAATGCATTTAGAATCTGTGCTTTGGACCAGTTATAGCAATCTATCATACTTTTCCCTCAGAAGATCTAAAGGAAACAATTGGCAAAATAACATTCTCAGGAGTTTCTTAATCTTTAAGAACAGACTCTAATAGGCAAACACAATACGGTAGTCAAAAACACATTATTATGAAAAAAGAAAAGCAGCCTATATAATGGGGAAAGGGTAACATACTTTGCTGTTATATTCCAAGCAGAGTTTTACTGAGAATACTAACACGTATATGTTTTGTTTTCCTTTATTTTCTCATTTTCTACTTGTTAAGTGACTGAGGTTTTATAAATGTTTCAAAACAGGTGCATCTAAAGTTATGGAAGCACACTCAAAGCATAATGTTTGATTAATTTAAGCAGTCATGTCTTTCTCAGATTTAAGTCATTTGACTGTTTTGGAGATTTTTCAGTCTCACAGTTTGAAAACAGATAAAATCAGATCTGAATAATCAGTATAATCTAAGACTATCTAATGATAAAAAAAAGTCATAACTATCATATAAACTTGACACAAAAATAAACTGAAATAAATCTTCAACTTTATATTTGAAGCATATTCTAGCTCAAATCTCAAAGTATCCCCCATTAAGACTCATTATTTGGTCAGATTATATAAAACAATCTATTCTTTTTTAAAAAAAAACATTGACGTAAAAGTATCATATCGTTAATTATCCATTCATTCATACTGGTTAATTATCTATTCAACAAATCTGTTAGATACGTTTAGTAGAAATGCTATAACTCTCCAACCTAGCCAGTGTTTATAATCTGAAAGGCTTAATGAAACACTTACATTAAACCCTGAAAAATCGATGGCAATGGCTGTTTCTCCATTGTTGCCTTGTTTGGGTGCAATTTGATTCAAAAGATGATAATAAGCTTTTGAGTCCTGAAATGATCAATGCAAATTTTAAACAAAAATAATCATGTACACTTATCCAATGCTGAAATGAGAATGACTGGAATTGTTATACTAATATGCCTGTTTTCATACTCTGTATAGGTTCTGCAGTTAGTGGATTTTCATATTTCTTGGAGATATCCCCTTTGAAAAAAACACAAAGTATAGGACTATACTGGGGATGTATCTACAGATTAATAGCAATAAAAAGGTGCCTGGATAAATAGTGCTAAAAAAATACAGGAGTTTATCTTGATGGAGAGTAACATCAAGTGTTACAGACTCACAATAGAGGCTTTGCAGAACCAGGAGTCCTCAGCTTATAGTCAGTTTATAGATGAACTGAATCTAATTGTTTTCCTCTGGATCCAAAGTTCTAAACAATTCCAGTTGCAGCTGTTCCACTTGTCTGGATACGAGTTTTGGGGAATTGTGCTACATACAAGTTTAATAATATAATAAAAAAAGTAAGGAAATTTGTTTTTGTTATTTATTTTATGTTTTAAGAATTAATTTGCTTCCATAGTTTTTGATTCTAGAAATGATATTTTTCTTATTCTTCTATAAGTTTTATGGCATTTTGAGACCATGGACTTTCTTATCTATCAGTCAAGTGTTATATACTCCATTCCAATAGCACTACAGCTAGCCTCCTTCTAAAGACTGAATCACTTCCAAAGCCCTTTATTAGCATAACTTTATTTATGTAAGAAATAAGTTGGCGATGTATGGCAATAGTATGTTAGGTTCAAAAAGTATTTCAGTCGTATCAGTGGTGGGCTGCCGGTGGTTCGGACCAGTTCTAGCGAACCAGTAGTTCTGACCATCAGCTGGCCCCACCCACCCGCGCCACCTATCCTGTCCTATATTTCTGTCTTTCTCAGCTCACCTGATTTGTGCAGAACAGTGGATTTCCACATCTCAGCTGTTCTACTTACCAGAGCTGTCCTAGAAGGTAAGCTGTTGAGGTTAAAATTGGTGTTTTTTGAGTGCTGCACATGCACGCAAAACACACATTAGGCATGTACACTTGCCGAACTGGTTGTTAAACCAGTTGCAGCCCACCACTGAACAGTATACTTTTTATTAAAATGCAACAGAATAATTTATGAAAACGTTGATTAGTTCTATTTTTAAAATTCAGATTGTAAAAATTGCTTTATTTACTACAAGTTTAAGTAAGATATACCTTAATGTCTTGACCAAAGTTGCTTATTTTCTTCCACCCAGCGTTATTCAAATGGTAGTTAACCCACCGTAGCAGAAGTTCTTCTGGGGACAATTTCATTAATTGCTCCAATCCTTCCTCATCACTTAGTAAACCAATAAGAGCTGGAAAAGATTTTCAATAAATATTATTCTGGAACTTCAAAAGAAAAACAAATAAAAGAATATGCTTAAGCTAAAGAATTCATTATTCCCAATGAATGTTTAAAATTCTCACCTTCATTTCTGGAAATCTCTATATCAGAAAAAAGCCCAACTTTAATAATTTGCCATAATAATCCTAACACCAAATGTGGCTTTCCATCTATTAGATCTTGTGATCCAATGTTAACTACTGTACAGCCAATAGCTGATGCAGAATTTAGTGCTAGATCTAGATTTTCCTAAAAGCAAAGCCAAAAAAAATGTGTTAGAAGGAAACAGATGTAGAATGAACAGAGTAAGAAAGTATTTCATAAATCAGCTGACATTTGAACTGTTTTCAGCATATTTGGAACACTGAAAGTCAGCATTTAATAAATTATTCTATAAGTATTTTCTTTTGAAAGAGCTGATAGAGCATAGGCCCTTTTTAATACAGCCATTAATTTATGTTTATTCTTTTAGTAACTTAACAATATAAATGTTACCATCATAACTCAAAATATGCCTGTGCTACGATTTTCTAAAAATTGCTTTATAAGCGTGATATCTAAATAGAATACTATAAGAAAAATGGAGATCTGAAAACTAAATAATCAGAGATGGATACACATGAACACACACAGGTTTTGAATGGAAAAAAGGACTATGCCAAAACAAAAAGACGTTGGGGGAAAATGTAAAATTGAAGGTACTTAATGGGCATAACAAAACTGGTACTAGAACAACTTGAAATGGCATGTTCTACAAACATGTGTTACAAATATATTAGTATGTGCAAAATTACATGCTAGAAATGAAAATTTGAGTTGCTAGCTTTGCAAAAAAAAAATCCAGAAAACTTCCTGGAAACTGTTTTATTCAAAGGCTCACATATGTTTATGGATTTACTTCAGCAATACAGTATATATAGAAAGTTTAAATAACTAGAAATGTTACAATTTATTGCCTTGTTTTTATATGCATTTTTCCATGTATAACTAGAAGCAAAAACAACCCCCCAAATATAAAAATAAAATATGAGAAATATAAGAAAACTGAAACAAAGATAAAGAAAATACAAAAAAATATTGAAATAAAAATATATGTTCAATACTCATATATAATTGAAATCCAGGTCTCAAACAACAAATTAAACTTTGGCTTACCAAAGTGATATTGATCACACTTTATGCATTAAAAAGCTATTTTCTATGCTGAGAGTATTTTCTATTAAGGATCATTTTCCCCCCACTGGAGTAAAACCATCCAGAGTTGCCTCAGATGGTGCGATGGGAGGACATATAAATTTTAAAATAAAATAAAATAATAAACAATCTTCTTAGCTACACCCCATGAATGATAAATCTTGTTTCGTAAGGTTCAGAATCTGGAGAATATTATACAAAAATGTCTTCAATCTATATCAAATCCAAAAGATGAAATCTGGGTCACTTCAAAAATATGGAAATTGGAATCTACCTATTTTGGGGCTGCCCAATAAACCTGAAAGAGAATCCTTTGTTGAATTAATTGCATTTTGAGATTATATAACACTAATGTGACATTTTTAAAATTCTAACACATTGGCATGTTTTTCTATATTTGTCTTGATACAACTTTTCAGTTGTAGATTTAAATTAATTCAGAAACTTCAAAAAAAAATTCTAATAATTTTAATAATTTAGAATTTCAGATTTTGATCATACATCATGCTCAAATTGTAAAATTAAAATACATTTTAATTAGATATATTGCAACTCAGAAGTTTTAAGCAAACCAAATTCTTTTAAATCTTTTAAAATACTAGTATCAATCCCATTACTGGCAAGAAATTTTCAAGTTTGTATTATCTTGTAATGTAATTTTACATGAGAGCTATGATCAAATTTCAATGTCCTTCCCAAACATCATCCATATATGTCTTACAGCTTACAATTTGTCTTGTATCATCTTCATAATTGCCATTCAGCTAATCAATTTTGGCTATTGTTTACTTACTGATCTAGTGAATGCAGTAAGCTTCTTCTTATTAATTGCTCTTTCATCAATCGTATCTGGCTGAGATAAATTAATCATTTTGCTTGAAAATAAAGAAAAATAATTGTTAGCTTAATGTGAAAGAAATTCACTGTAAAGTTATTTAAAAGATTGGCAGATTAAAGTTCTCCATAAATGCGAACATTAAATAGCAAAACATTTACTAGACTTACAAAATAAGGAAACTTATGGAATTAGTATTTTGTTTCTAGAAGTGGAATAACATCAGTACCATACATAGCTGTAATTTATTTAGTTTTTTCATATAGTAATATTCAACTGTTATTAACTGAAGAATCTGCACTTAGTCACCCACAGACAGAAGAAGAGACATAAGCAATGTATATGCATGTAACATACATTTTCTCCCTGCTAGGATGAAAAATGTCAGAACTGTCTTTGATTTAGCATGGAGAATGAAGACAATAGCTCTTAGACAATAGCACCATGCTAGAAACAGTTAGCTTAACTCCAATTTTCAAATGCGTATACTTGGATAATTTCTGGGATCAGTAGAGATTAGTATTAAAACTTTCCATATACAACCAAGGCTACTGTTAAAAATAGCAATTCATTCTTATTCAGGGTGGATATGAATGATAGGGGAGGTAAAGGAGAATGGACATTTCCTTTGTAAAACTCCTCAATGAGACTGCTAATAGCAGTGCAGAAGCAGTAATTGTGTAGCATACCATGACTGGAGGATTTGCCTAATAACAGCAATTGGACATGAAAGAACTGCCTTCATAAGTCAGGACAGTCACATGATATTGCACTTTATGACTGTGCTGCTTAGCTGCAGAGTTCCCAATGCCAATTCATAAGTGAGGACTATCTATATATGATTTAATTTTTATTGATTTCAATGAAAGAGTTCAAAATTTGCTGAATTTTCCAACTAAAATAAATAGCACTTATGGTATCAAAATTAAGCGATGGTAATGCCTTAACTCATCAGCCAGTATTTTGGTAAACATTTTTTTAAAAAAACTGAACATACCAAAGAAGGATACCATCAGCAAGTGAATTAAAAAGGCTATCATCTGATGGATTCATAGGGAGACAATATTTGCAGTCAGGGTCATCTTTAAGAGCTTTATTTATCCAGTTAACAAACGCGACCTTGTCTTCTTCTGGAAAATAAAAGAAAAATATATTTTAAGAGCAGTCTAGCAATACATATGCCACAGATTCAACCTTGCTCTGTTAGCACACTGTAAAAGAAACACTAATAGGGAATACTGTTATGTATCTTTTATTTCAAGCAGGCCATCCTGTAATTATAATAACGATATCCATAAATTCCTGCATAAATTTTAATCCTAAAATTACATTCACTAAAACATTCCCTTGAACTTTACAATTTTTTTTTACCTGAGTAAGAATGCTGAGTTCCCTCACTGGAAATGGATGATGTTCCTCCAATTGCAGTAATACCCAGTTTTTTGTTTATGGATTTTCGAAATGATTTGCTAATATCTTTACTTTTCAGTTCCTGAATAACCTGGAAAAAAACAACATGCATAAAATGAAATTTAATGTGGAGAAAAGCAAGGTTTTGCACCTAGGCAGGAAAAATTAAGCAAAAATGAGAGGGACCTTGGAGTCCTACTGGATGATCATTTATGAGCCAGCAGTGTATGGCAGCAGCTAAATAAGCCAATACAACCCTTGTGTTATATAAACAGAGGCAAAGAGTCAAAATCACATGAAGTATTTATAAATCCTTAGTAAGACTACACCTGGAATACTGCATCCAGTTTTGATCACCATATTACAAAAAAGATATTGAGACTTTGGAAAAAGTGCATAGAAGACCCACTGAGATAATTAAAGGCCTGAAGATGAAAACATGAAGATTGGTTTCAGGAATTGGGTATGGATAGTCTAGAAAAAAGGACTAGGGGTGACATGTGATGCCATGTTTTTACAGGACTTCAAAAGCACAATAAAAGTGACAATCTGTCTTTTGTCACTTGTATATGCTTTCCATGTTGCTGTTAATCAATCAAGTATTTTCATAGGTGTAATGAGTAGTGAATGCAAACATTTATTGCATTATTCTCAGAACTCACATCTGCTGCTACTTATCACCTAGAACAGGTTCTTTAAAATTGTGGCATTTTCTGATGTTATGGTGCATGCATAATGCTTAAAACATAATTCTCCAAAACATGGACTGTCCTAGCAAATCCAGGATGTCTAATAATCAAATATAAGTGGAAATAGGAAGTACAGCCTGAATGATCCAAGGCCCAGAGAAAATATATTAGTACCTTGGTCACATGTTTTTAGGCAGTCAAAAGTCAGGCCATTCTAAACATGGGGGGAGGGGGGGGAAGGTGTACTTAATCCATTCTTGACAATTCACTTATTCATGTTAAAGATAAACTTCATCAGAAATGTGTAAAAGACTTCAGCTACTTCAGAAAAATAGCCTCATGCACTTCATGTTTTAAATGCAATTTTAAAAAAACGAATGATGTATTGTATACATTGAGTTCCTTTCAAGAACAGTAGAACTAGAGCAACAAGATGCAAAATTGTCTCAGGTAATTATGATTAGTTTTAATCTTGTAGAATTATAGAAGACATTACTATAATAATTTATTTAGGTAAAAGAAAAATGTTTTGTCCAAAAACATTTAGAAGAGTTTCATTTCAGAAACTAAACGAAGGAAAAATGTTTAAGGTAGGTGACGCTGGAATACAGTGGCTTCTTTATCTTGGGTCACACAGTGGAGGGCAGCCAAAAGGCAAGGATGTTTTGAAATTGCACCCAGAGGTGCCTATCACTATTCTATCACTTTCCTGGGCAAAATTATAGAGGATTGGATCATTGTTGCACTAAATTTAACAGCCATCATTTCACAGCCTGTAATTGATGTACAGACTATTTATAATTCCTGTAGTAAATGACATGAAGATCCATGTGCTACCCTGAAATCAACAACTGCAAGGACAAGAGCACATTTTGTAAGGTATAGCTACTAAAAAGGTCTTACCCATTTTCAAAACTGCTTTTTTTAAACTATTATTTTGAGAGCTATTGTTCAAAAGCTGTCATTATACTGCTAAAGTTGGCTGACTAATAAATTTAAATAAATAATGTGAAAGTTACAAAACAGGATATCATATATTTGAGCTTGGTGGTGCTGTGATTAGAAGGCAGTATTGCAGGCTAACTGTGCCCACTGCCAGGACCGGCTCAAGGTTGATTCAGCCTTCCATCCTTCTGAGGTTGGTTAAATGAAGTCCCAGATTGTTGGCAGCAATATATTAACATTGTAAACCACTCAGAGAGTGCTGTAAAGCACTCTGGAGTGGTATACAAGTTTACATCCTATTGCTATATCATATAACCATTCCTCAACTAACATGACAGACTCATCAGTTCTTGATTGTGTAAGGTACATTTTAGGAATATTGTACACTATTGAGCAATGTGATGTACAGAACAAAGCCATAATTTGTAGCATGAATATATATATTTAATAGTAACATTTTGTTTCATACTGTATATAATTAATTAATTCTAATCCAGTTATATTCAGATAAACATATAGCCTAAGATATTAGTTTACTTACCGATACAAATTCTTCAAAATTTATTTTGCCATCCTTGTTACTATCTGTCACTGCTATAATTTTTTCCACAATTTCACGAACTTTATAGCCAGGTAATGGAAGACTTGCTTCTTTGAAAAGATCTTGAAGTTCATAATCACTGACATATCCACTATTGTCAATGTCTATAAATTGCAAAACAAAATTGCTTTCTTACTATTGATATTTCAATTGCTGTTTTAAAATAATACATTTTTATTGTTTTGTTATTACCTTCTTGAATTTAGGCTATCTTTAGTAACAGATAATATGTTTGCTGAAGTATTATCATTTCAAACATTAACTGAGAACATATTTATATTTTAGTGGTCTTCTGTGGGCTGTGTGTGTGTGGTTATTGTTATATAAGACTTTCTCATCACATCTTATGCTTATTCATTCTGTTTTCTTTTGCTTTCAGCATATTTGAAGTAACCTAAAGTTGATAGATAATTGTATTTCTTGCTAATGGTATCTCACTTTGTACCTTTGTTTTTCTGATTTATTCCTTATTTCTGAGATGAAGTTGTTTTAACTTTCTTTGTTAACACCCTTTAGTAAGATCCTTTGTGACCTATTTAATGACACTGGATCTTCAGGTGTCTCCTAGTTTTCTTTCTCGTTAATATGTTCTGATATTGCACTGTTCTTTTCAAGGTGTTTCAATCAATTATAGTATCTTTAAGATTTATCTTCATATTATCTTTTTATCATTTCCATTAGCTTACTGTATTAACATTGGCCATTTTAAAAACCATTATTTAAGCTGATATTTTTTCAAGTGCTTGTTAAATCAAAAACTCTAACAAAGTAGCCACTGCATCCAAGTTTACCTTTATTTAGTATCTTTAGAAAGAGACAAATTTAAGGTAATAAATTGGCCTACTGCCCACCACAATTTTGTCTTTGGAAAGAGAAAAGCATCATCATAGGTAAAAAAATTATCAGACATTTTATGTTTGACAAAATTAGTCTTTCAATTCATATCTTGATATATCATTATAAATACTTCATGATTTTTCAAAGCTTCAATTATCTGCTTTAAAAAAGTTACATATCTCTAATGACTGATTTGGCAGTCTTTATCAGACCTCAAGGAACCTAGCACTTCTATTGGTTTGCCATTTCAACATGCCATTTCAAATAACACATGTGTTATTTTCAGTCCAATGGATCTCTCTGTAGGTAAATTCATTTCTGGTATATAATGTATTGCCTGTTCCTCTGAAATAAAGTTTACCTATCAATCCAACGCTCTACCGGTGGGATTCATCTTACTATGTTATATAATCTTTTTATATTACACTTGCCTTTATGGCAAGCTCTAGCGCATCTTGCCTGTTTAACCCATATTTTGTGTATTGGTGTAGAAATATTCTATGCAGTATAATTGATAGGATTCCTTATGTTCAATTTATTTTCCTTTATATCTGTCTCATGTTTATTTTTGCCAAACTGATTTTTATAAGATTTTACCTTGCTTCTGTATTCAATCTATTATATGCCAATTCATTACTCACTAGTCATCTTACAAGTCTTTATCAATGTAAAACCTCCCATCTTCATAATCTTCTTCTGAAGCCAGAGATGAGACAATAGATAATTAGTTGAATTTCCCAAAACCCATAGTATCATGGAACAAACACAGAATGAAGCCAGTGGTGAGATTCAAATTTTTTTACTACTGGTTCTGTGGGCGTGGCTTGGTGGGTGTGGTGTGGCTTAGTGAACATGGCAGGGGAAGGATACTGTAAAATCTCCATTCCCTCCCCACTCCTGGGGGAAGGTTACTGCAAAATCCCATTTCCTCCCCACCCCACTAACTTCCTTTCCAGTTCTGTTCTCCTGTACAGGGCAACAAAAGAAGACCCAGCTGATCAGCTGGGACTCAGCAACCAGAGAATAGATGGGGGCGGGGCCAGTCAGAGGTGGTATTTGCAAGTTCTCCAAATTATTCAAAATTTCTGCTACCGGTTCTCCAGAACTGGTCAGAACATGCTGAATACCACCTCTGAGTGAAGCATAAATCTCAGCGCTATCACCCCTACCCAGCACAGTGATTTAGAGTCTTTATTCCAACTTTTGAGCTCTTGCTGGGGTGGTTTTCTCCGCTGACTGAACAGTTCCGCACCAAAAATAGCAGCTGGCACCATTTTGTTAAGCAGCTGTTAATTGCAATTGCCCTCAGCAAACTTAAAACTCTTGTCATGTACCTGGTGGAGACTGACTCAGAGGAAGAAGAGAAACAGCCAACAGGGAATGGGGGTGTGGCTCCAGAGGTGGTGGAGGAGGCTGGGAAAGGGCAGAGGCCGGCTGAGCAATCAGAGGAGGATCCAGGCCCATCCCCTATCCATCCTGGGTCACACAGGGAGGAGAGGATCAGGGAAAAGTGAGGTCTACTCAGTAGGAGATTACCATGATCCTCCTCATGGCTTGCAGCTGGGAGCTATGTATATAAGTTTGTAATTGCATAGTCAAAATTGCTGGAGTCAAAGTTTAGTGTTTACTTTGAAGAGGTTTATCTTTGCTGGCATTCTTCCCATGGACTCTCCACGGTTATCTTCCTGGAATGTATGGTTAATTATCTTGGCTTGCTTCGGAACTCTTGTCAATGCAGTTTGTTTTGGTTTTCTTTTTGCCTCATTATTTACTTTTGTGACTTTAAACTGTGCCTAATAAAACAGTGAAGTTAAGTTGAAGGCATTACCGGACTTTAATGTATGTTTTGGGTTTTGGGTTGTTTTGAGAGACTACGGGTCATCACAACTATTTTAAGAGGCATTCAGTGCTTAGCCTAAGTAAATAGGCTGGTGTAAGGAGTTAAAACCCTAACAGGGCTGATCCAGCACAGCCTTACAGGGGTTTCAGTAATGAACCACAACAATTAAAGGATTGCTGAAACAATTAGTTAGCAAACCCTCACATTCAAATTGAGTCAGAACAGCAGCTAGCACCCAGGCCTGTGACCACCTGTGCACTAAAGCTGTTGCAGGCCCAGTGTCATACAGTTCAAGGTATAATTTGAATTAGCTTCAATTTGTTTTAATTGGCAATAATAATAATAATAATAATAATAATAATAATAATAATAATAATAATAATA